AGTAATTTTTATACATTTTGTAGTCCGCCATATCATATCTTTTAAAAAGTACAGTCACAAAAGACTCATTGGTGGCCTTGGATTATATACTCTTTGGTCGAGTTGTTGTCTCTTTGACACATCTCCTTTTCCATTCTCTATTCTATAATTCAGACAGCTTTTTACTATTGTAAAAATAAGATGACAAATTTAGATACTTACAGTTCTACAGTAGGATTATTAACAGACCACGGTTGAACTAGGACCATAGTAACAATGCTAGCTAACAAAATAACAGCCATACTAGCTTATTGCTAAGCAAATTTTATACAAAGAACAGTAACACAACTGCTTTTTTCCTTGTCAATTCTTGGACGATAGTGGTAGCTAATGGTTTTACGTAACGTCACAATGCTCCATTAAAGTAAACGGCATGGCATGCGCAACGATATCGCTATATACTGGTGTCTTGGTCCATGTACAAAATAAGCAACTAAATTGTTGGAAAAATCAGTGAAGCATTGGTAAATATTTGTACGAGGATATCAACTAGTAACGTCAGTTTAATTTTTTTAAATCAACAACGAAATTTGTTTTTTCATTGATAATGATTTACATAACGGATTCATATAAATATAGGTTTTGTATTTTCAGTATTTATTATAACGCATTCTTTATCTTTATTAAGTAATGGAGCCCTTAATGGGAGGTAGCTTGTAATTCATAACATGATAAGAGGCTGTGAAAATGATAGCAAACCGGGGTTTAAGGATGTTTGCTCCTCTTGTTTTTGATTTTTTGTCAGATTTTCGGAATCCTCTTGTTTTAACTATGTAGTGCCGTCAAAAAAAATGCCCGCTAAACCTTTCTGATATTTTCATAATTTTATTTTATATAGTTTTAAAACGCCATATTTAAAAATCTTATTAAATTCTTATGTTTTCATTGTTTTTGAAAGAAAAATGTGTCAATCTTTGATGTAAGCAAAATCTAGAGGGGTCATAGTATTGCTGTACATGTAAGAGTTTATTTATTTGTTTTCTAACAAGTGTGGACTCAGATCAGTGTGGGTAGTATGTTTGGATGATTGACAGCGTGTTCTGACAAAAAGAGTTCTCTGTTTTCATGTTCACCGATTTGACTCAATTTCTCATATTTGATTTATAATATACTAACACGTATATCTAAATTACAAAGTCTGAAATAAACAATTAACAATGCATGGACTAGATAATATATATCAGCATTTCATGTGAATTTTAGTCTAGACGTCATCTAATTAACCGTGGAAATGACCTCCGAAGACAGCCGACGGTCACATTACCCGATATAATCATAAACATAAATATAAATAGATAGCAACCTCGTTCAATTGGACTTTTCTAGGTATGTTTGATTTCATATCATAGATTAGAAAAATAAGTTAATCATCGTTTTTACCTATATAAGAATGATGTTTTAGTGGATCAAATAGGTCAACCAAAGTTCATCTTTGTTTCATTTTCAATGTTGACATTCTTTTCCTTTTAATGACTGAACACGACTTATACATGCGTAACCAATACCTAGCTAATGGATTAAATTGAAGGTCACATGAATACGGATTCAGTGAGGTCGAATTATTCACTTGCAACTTGATAAATCATCAGCGTTTCTTACTTAGCTTATTTTGACAAAATTGAACTAAACTGGCTACTAAAAGGGAATAATTTTTTCAGTATTTCACTTTCATTAACAAAAAGATTGATGATTGAACAACAACAAAAAAATCATATTTTGATTTTTCAATATCTTGTAGCTAATACCCCTTCAACTACTTATATTGAATGGATGCTACTCCAACAATAGGAAAACTATCCAACCATAGACGAAAAGAAGTAGTTTTTGTAGAAAATATCATATGGCTTTTTTAATATCACACCCGTATCTACCATAGACACCAAAATAAAGAAAAAACAACAACATGACATTGTCAAAATGAAAACTTATATATCTAAAATTTGAAGACGTTAATGAGGATTATGTAAATATGTTATTTAACGTAAATAAAACAGCGGGAATATTTCCAAAAATTGTCAAACCAGTTAGAGCCAAACAAATTACCAACATGATTAATAAAAGCATTAAAACATCTAAATTCGCTGTAAGTTTGAAGCAGGCCAAAGAAGTACCATTATTAAAAAAAGAAAACGCTTTATATAAAAGTAATAATAGGCCAATACGAACATGTTGTATATTACCTTTTACTTCAGAAAGTTTCGAGAGAGCTATTTATTTCGATTCTGTTAAGAATGAAAAACAGCATTAATGAACACAACTAATTGTAGTGCTTTTTTGTTATTTAATGTTATTCAGGGTTATATCTGGTCTTTATACCAGCTTTGATAAGTGTTTGGTATTACTAAAAATTTTCACTTCTTCGTACTATGTACATCAAAATTATTTATTTTGTAAAAATATTTCCTTTCTCCATTTGAACTGTACACGTATACCTAACAACAACATTATTTTCATTTACCTGTGTTTAAAGTAATTGCAAATGGCTGATATTTTTGTTCAAGCATATTGTTTTTCTTAAATTGTTTAACATATCAGAGCGGTATAACATGTTTCTTTAATTATTCTTCCCTTAGTTTATTTATTTTGTATTTACATTGTATCATAGATCAAATTTATTTGTTCAGTGTATGTTCACTGGTGTTAATATGTCTTTTGGTTGAGTTAAGCCATATCAATTGATATTTTATTGTGTGTCTTTTTATGTTGTAATGTTACACTATTGTTTTAGATAAGGGTGAAGGTTTGGTACCATCAAAACGTTTAAACCTGCTGCAATTGTTTGCACCTGTCCTAAGTCATGAATCTGATGTTCAGTAGTTGTCGTTTGTTGATGTGGTTCATAAGTGTTTCTCGTTTCTCGTTTTTTATATAGATTAAACCGTTGGTTTTCCCGTTTGAATAATTTTACACTAGTACTTTTTGGGGCCCTTTGTAGCTTGCTGTTCGGTGTGAGCCAAGGCTCCGTGTTGAAGACCTTACTTTGACCTATAATGGTTTACTTTTATAAATTTTGACTTGGATGGAGAGTTGTCTCATTGGCACTCATACCACATCTTCTTATATCTACAAATATAATACTGGTAAATTTATCAAATGCATTTGACTGCTTCACCACAATTTATCCTTACAAGAAGTTTATTCTTTTGTACGTTTAACTACAAAATAAGAAGTTGTTATGGCCATATGAGATTTAGTTACATGCAAGTATAACATTGGAAAACAATTTACTATAAGAAAGTTAATCTTTGATAAGATTATGTGGAAGTTTAGAGAATTTTTTTTTGTCTACAGAAACAAACTAACACTCAAAGGACACAGTTTATTTAAGACTTCTTTATTAGTCATATTCTAAATATGTTTAATATTACAGAAATAGATAATGCTACAATTTACATATTAAGTTTTGCCCCAATCTTTTATAATGAAATCCTTAAACGTTGTAAGAACCGTTGTAAAAAATAAAAAATAAAAGAAACTACATACAGCATTTACATGTATATATGTTACAGTGAATTTATATAATCAGGGATTATGTAGAATCTCCGATTTTTCAGGGATTTTGCATAATCACTTAAATCATTAGTGATTTTATATAATCCCTGAAAATGACCAGTGATTTTCCAGAATTAGTTTACAAATTCCCTGGAATGTTTACAGGGATTATATATATCAATAATACAAAGATTCTCTGTTTAGTAAAAATAAATCAAATACAGACAAATAAATCATAGGTATAACCTCTTTATGGTTTAAGTGGACAGTTAACACTCCCTGTCCATTTCTGGTGATAGTCCATTTAACTGTGTTAAACAAACAAATAAATATTTCAAATTAAAATGAATAATATCAATTTAAATGCAAATATCATGCAATTTGCTGTAAAACAAAGAGGATGAATGTTAACGAACAAGAAATTCCAACTAACCAAAGAAATGCAACTAAATATCTAGAAACACAAACAGAACACCGTCATATGTCTATCATGAATACTTTCTTTCTCTTCAAAGTGCAGAAAAATCGGATTCAATATGTGAAGGCTAACTGTTTTGTTTGTTTGTTTGGTTTTTTGTTGTTGTTGCAAAAAATGAAGAGATAAGCAGAACACATGTTCAAAAGTAAAGGGTCTGGGTGGGGTTAACAGAATAGAGAATAATGGGCAATCAGTGCAAAATAAAGGGCACAACAAAAAAGAATAGACAAAAATTGACAAATAAATTTAAGAACCACGAAGAAGAAAGTAATTTCAAAACACAAACCAATAAAACATAGAGACCAAACAAAATATCCAAACTCCCACAGTGACGCATGAACAACATTTACAGTATTATTAAAGATAGCTACGAAGTAGCTACTGACGAATGAACAACATTTACAGTATTATTAAAGATAACTACTGACGCATGAACAATATTTACAGTATTATTAAAGATAACTACTGACGCTCTCAAAAGCTTATGTTTGTATTGTTATATGACTTTTTGTGTACCGAATCAAAATAAAACTTTCGTATTCGTATTCGTTTTTTAGCTTTTGTAAACATTATTATGCTGAGGAGACGAAAAACTTTAAAAAGAAATTTGGGATTTTTCATGTTTTGTCAGTTTCCGTGTTATCACGTCTGACATATAACGGCATGACTTTTTTTGTAAAACTAGAGTTGTTTTGCTCTTTGGTTTTATTAAATACTGTACGTGCTTGGAGAAAAAAAATAGTTAATTTTAACACAGCCTAAGATACGACAAGGAACTCCAACATACAAGGCGAATACATTACAACGAGACCCCTTATGTGGTTCTGTAATACATGAGCATGAAATACCAAAGATAAATAAAGGAAAATATAGATAATGACAAATATTATTTTAATAAAAATAAATCACTGAACGTTTATCCCCACAGAACACAATTGCGGTCAACTATGAACTGATCATCAAACTAGAAAAAATTCGTAAAATTTCATAGTTGAAGTCTAGTTCTTTATGCAAAACAAAAGAAAGTAACCAATTTTACTAAAGAAAATAACAACTAATTTGGTACGTAAATATACTGTTTTTAATATTATATGCATTTTGAAAGGTTTTAAAATCGTCAAGAGGTTGAAATCAGGTACCCAGTGAAGCTAGTGTATTCACCATGGATAGCTTCTGATCCAGCAGCCGAGTAATGTTGTATAAAGACTTTATCTCCCATCTCAAGCTCTAGGGTTCCAGATATCGCACCAGCATCACGGTTATTCACGCTGTGTCCTTTGGTCAGCTTGCTGTTATTTTTCGTTAGTATAATGTGTAATGGGGTTCCAATCGACATAAAAGTACAGTCAAAGTAGTAAAGTCCTTTGACAGGTGCTCGAAAAATACCCGTTTTAGAATCGTATGCATCACCTGTATTTGTGAATACCTTATCAAATACCACAGTCGCCGATCCAGAAACTGTCAATGTTTTTGTCAACACGGCATAAAATGCTATCGGTTTATGGTTTCTACAGCCAGTGCCTTAAACAAAGCAGAAATTCAAATACAGCTTAAAATTATTATTTTAAGTTAAAAAAAATCTAATTAAGTTTATACTCTTGCACATTACTTCTCAAGGTAATGTAGAAAAATGATATTGTCCAATATTAATTTTTATTAATATTTTATGCAGCTATCTTGTGATATCGATCTCGGAGTAACAATCTCACAGGGAGTATAAAAGCTTAAAAGTTCAATATCACGAACTTAAACAGCTTTTTATTCTACCGGTATATAAGCTGGAAGCAGTGTTTTGTAAACACAAGAAACAAGTACTCAACATAAATATATTAGACAAATAAATTATTTGTGATTTGAGGGGTTGTCATATCTTGAAAATATTTACGAATACATTTGAATTGTGATATAAAATATATTTTGTTGTTAAAACCTATAAGATGTATACTTGAAATCCTCCGCATTAGTAAGTATAGAATTGTAAATATATGGTTTTTTTATTTTAGTAAACATTTGGACTTAAAACTATGATAAAAGTTACCTGCACTTATTTGTTTGATTTCTTTAACAAAATTTAAAAGCTTTTCCATGACAGTTTCTGTTCGATCTGAAAGATATAAATGTATAATAAACTAACAAAAGTTTGATAGTCACCTTCATGCCATAGAATTTTTTTTTTTTTTTTTTTTTTTTTGGCGAATAGTTTCTGTCTTGGTTTCTTACCAAAAACAATTGCTGAACAAGGCAAAATCAAAGGAGCATATTTTTTCACAACAACTCTGCTTCAGTGACATATTTACACTGGTGTGCTTTCCATTTCTATGTACATGTAGCAACATTCCAACAGCGCTTCCATAACGAGTAAATATCTCCCAGTTGATACGATATTCCAGGGCTTCTATTTTCTATCATGATTTCCTGCTCACAAAGAAGCTATTAATACGCGAGATTCAAGTGGTGAAGTTGAAATCATTCCTTCGTTAGTTTTACGGACGCTATCACGATGTGGTTGACCGTTATGGAATATCCGTTTTACAGATGGTAGCGCAGATGTGTTTCTAATGTCGTAACAACAATCCTGTCCCCTTTTCCCGAATGTGACCTACCGAATTAGACTTATTGCCAGGTTTGTACTAACATGGACAACACGACAGGTGCCACATGTCGAGCAGGATCTGTTTACCCTTCTGGAGCACCTGAGATCACCCCCAAGTTTTGGTGGGGTTCGTGGTGCTGCGTGTTTAGTTTCCTATGTTGTTTTTTGTGTATTATTGTTTGTCTGTTTATCTTTTTCTTTTTTAGCCACGGCGTTTTCAGTTTAATTTCGACTTATGAGTTTGAGTATCCCTCTGGTATCTTTCGCCTCTCGTTTGTAAACATGCAAGATAATATTACCCTGTCCATGTTTACGTTAAAACATTGACATCAGTTAAAACTGTTTAAACGCAGATAATGTTTTACAGCAAAATCAAACACAGAAATTTGAAAAACCTTTCATTCCACTTCGTGTTAATTTGAAGTGTATATTCTTCTTTGAGAATTTCTTAAAACAAAACAGATCAAAAACAGTTACTTATGACCTGTCCGATAGTTTGGGTAATTCCTGTTTTTCTTTTCATGTCTTATTGTACACTAAAGAATGATATAAATTTAGTTTTAATTTAGTAATTAATGGCTAGCAATATCCTTATAATGTCAACCAAAATAACATGGATATAATTTACCAAAATTTTGTTAATCTTTTGGAAAACGAAATGTTAGAAAAGATGGATTATAAAGTTATTGAAGTGTCATTAAGATCGAATGATAAAAAACGGCGGATGAGAAAACCTTGGTGGTAGGATTATCTTACGAATTTATGGAATGATGTGTGCGCTATATGGAAAAAGAGATGCTTAAAAGTAAATCGGATACTAGGAAACGTCAGTGTAGACAAGAATTCATATGCAAACGGAAATTTTTCGATCGTGAAACACAACGTTCGAAGCAACGTTACTGGAGAGACTAATTGAATGAAATTGACAATTTGGAATCAACAAATTAAACTGAATTTTGGAAGAATGATCGGACGGGTCGGAGTAGGCGAAAGTAAAATCACAAAAATACCGAACTCCGAGAAAAACTCAAAACGGAAAGTCCCCAATCAAATGGCAAAATCAAAAGCTCAAACACATCAAACGAATGGACAACAACTGTCATATTCGTGACTTGGTACAGGCATTTTCTTATGTAAAATATGGTGGATTAAACCAGGTTTTATAGCTAGCTAAACCTCTCACTTGTATGACAGTCGCATCAAATTCCATTATATTGACAACGATGTGTGAACAAAACAAAGAGACATAATAGGTAAAAAATGTCAAAATAGGGGTACAACAGTCAACATTGTGTTATAATCTTAATCACTATAAAAACAAACAAATATGTAACAAAGAAACACAAAAAGGCATATAGACAAAGCACATAAGCAAAAATGAAAGACAAGAATACAAAAATTTACCATAGCACAATAACACAATGACGGGATGTATAAGTACCGAGCCACGTCAAATGGATATCACCAAAAATAGACTTAGCAGTAAAAGTAATATTCAAAAAGACAAATAAAAAAAATCCTAAAGAAAGAAGAGAGAAGAAAAACTATACCTATGTCTGTGCAACTACCGAATGGTAGTATTTCACATGATCGAGACGCAGTTCTGAATGAAAGGAAACGATCTTTCTGTAGTTTGTTGAAGGCAATATTGATAATCTGACAACGGACACAAGTACAGATAATGGTGCTACGATGAATAATGACATTACTCTTGAGGAAGTTAAACGAGCAGTAATCAATTTGAAAGTTAACAAAGCTGTTGGTGTGGATGAAATTCCATCGGAAGTCCTCAAGAATCCGTGTTTGTTGAATTTCCTACTAAGTTTGTTTAATAAATGTTTCTTCAGTGGTACAATATCAACAATCTGGCGAAAAGGAATTATCAATCCTATACCTAAGTCGTCGACGTCGAATCCAAAAGACCCGATGTGTTACCGCGGTTTAACACTTGTTCCTGTTTGCTACAAGCTGAACTGTCATATATTGAATAACCGATTGCACGAATGGGAGGAGGAAAATAGTATTTTAGTTGGTTGTCAAAACGGTTTCCGGAAGGGTCGTAGTACAATTGATCATATAAAGTCATTGTCGTTAATTATTGAAACAAGAAAGCTAAAACGTTTATCGACTTTCACAGCTTTTATTGACTTTCGTAAGGCGTAAGATGGGATAGACCGTAATTTGTTATGTCAGACTTTTTACTTGATATTGGGATATGCGGGAATATGTATAATGCTGTCGTGTCGTTATATAAGTCAGTAGAGTGCTTCGTTCTGATAAATGGACAATTAACGGACTGGTTCAATGTTCAATGTGGTCTAAAGCAAGGATGTTTACTTTCACCGTTATTTTTAAAGTGTACGTGACCGGTCTTGTTACGTATATATGTTCATTAAATGCTGGAATAGACTTTGACGAGGAGAATGTATCGATTCTACTTTACACCGACGACCTTGTATTATTAGCTGACTCGGAATCAGACTTGCAAGTTTTGCTAGATGGACTTCATCTCTGGCGTGCGGAGAATAAGATGACAATAAACCATAACAAGTCAAATGTTGTGCATTTCCAACCAAATTCGACTCTAAGGACAATAAATAGTTTTAAATGCGGTGATATTGACATAAATGTGGCGGACAAATATATGTACCTAGGTTTAGTGTCAACGGAGCATTTGGACTATCAAAAATTAATTATGGCGAAACACGTAGAAGCATACGCAAATCTGCCTTAGGACTAGTGATATCTAAATATAAATCCTTTGGAGGGCTACCGTTTGATTCTTTCACAAAATTATACGACTCGATTGTTTGGAGTACAATTAGCTACGGAGCGGCAAAGTGGGGCGATAGAACGTTTTCCTGTATTAATTCGATACAAAATAAGGCAATTCGTTTTTTTTTGTGGCAGTGGGACGGTACACACTTAACGTAGCAGTGACTGGAGATTCAGCCTGGAAACCACCTTGTGTAAGACAGAGGCGAACCGTTATAAATCATTGGAATCGTCTAAGGTATGTGAACACTGATTGACTAAATAAAAGAATCCATAACTGGGCGGAAAATAGTTTTAGACGTTATAAAGCATGTAAAAATTCAAATTATAGACTTTATCAGCAGGTTGAATCGTGTAATATTAGTGACTGGTATAATGACACGGACATTCATAAAACTACAGTGTTAGCTAAAATAGAAGATAAACTTTTAACCAATTTTAAACATAAATGGACGGATGATTTCCATCGAGTTTCTGCAAGACATATGGATGGTGGTGGTAATAAATTAAGGACATATAGAACATTCAAAACCGAAATTAGATGTAAACTTTATCTAAAAACACTGTTATCTCCTGCTCAACGTAGAGTGTATTCACAATTCAGGTGTGGGGTTGCACCTATACGAATCGAAACCGGGCGCTACGAACGTTTACCAATGCATGAACGGACTTGCTTTATGTGTGATAGTGAGATGGAAACTGAGGAACATGTACTATTTGAATGTCCGCTTTATGACGATTTAAGGAACGAACTTTATGAATACATAAACAGTGAAGATGAGAATTTTAACATGTTTACGAATCGTGAGAAACTGTCTTTTGTGTTGGGGTGCCAAAACGTTAATGTTATATACAAATGTGCCAAAACCTGCAAATCTATTTTAGACAGAAGGAGACGTTTTTAGACTGTAAAGTTTTCGTAATTTTTAGAAATTTTAATAAGTACACAGTTTTATAAAGACCTTTAATGTTTGGTGAATTGTTACTTTTTGTCTCTCATAATTCTTTTAAGAATGGCATATATATCTATTTATGTTTTTATGATATATGTATATATGTTATTGTGTATATTAATGGTAAGACGTTAATAAACTATCTATTTATCTATCTACAAATAAAATACATGTATTTAGACTGTAGTATTGATAAAATTCTAAGTCCTAATAGACATGTTTAAAAAACAATTGAAACATTTAACCAATGAAAACAAAACAAAAAATAACCGAAGCACTATTAAGGGGTTGCAATAAAATAAAAACTGCTTGTATCTGTTACGTAACTTTTTAACCACATTTTAAAATGGTTAAATATATCAAATCTAGCGGAACACTATGATACATATATTCAACATATCTGCAAATACTTATCAATAAAAGGAAATTCAATACAGCTTCACAACGACAAAAACGAAAAAAAAAATACTTTAGAGGTCAATTATCGCTCTTCAACAACACCTATATGTCTATATAATATGTAATTTTCTTCATCACCAGAAGTCTAGAAAAGTTGTAAATAAATTAAATATACTATCAACTATTTGCCACGGACTGCGAATTCCCTTAATGATTAAAATATAAGACGACATATATATCGAAATGCATATATTTTCAATAAATAACAATGTATACATAAGACGGCAAACTGTCACATTAATTAACAGGTTGGGGAGTACTTTCGGATAGGACCGCTAGAAGTATTTGGCATTTTGTATCGTTGGTTTGTCATATTGACGGAAACCCCTGATCTCATTGTATTCATTTGCTACATGTATTCAACAGCTTGCAAAATATGGAATAAACAATTATGGTCTATTACAATAAAATAAACTCCTTTCCAAGAAACTCTTATTCTTCACGAAACCAACGATCAAGGATGTGAAAGCAACAACATACCACTCACCAATAGAAAATACTTCTTCAAAACACTAACAATTGGGCATTGTCAAAATTCCAAAGCTACTTGGTAGGCGAAACGTTTAGAAATTTGACATGAAAACTATTGGCATCGATGCTTTAGCTATATCACAAAAATGTAAATCCCCGCATCATTATGTGTGTATCTATTCCTTGTCAGGAGCCTGTAATTCAGGGGTTGTCGTTTGTTGCTGTGTGTAATCTGTTTTTCGTTTCATGCTTCTATCATTAGTCAGGCCGTTAGTTTTCTCTCTCGAATTATGTTTCCTTTTGGGCCTTTATAGCATACTATAGGATACAGGTTATGCTTAGTGTTAAACGCTTTATTGCTCTACAACTGTTTACATTCTCGTTCTTTGTTCTCATGTGGAAATTGTCCATTAGCAATCATACTACATTTCCTTTATTTAGTATAGCATATAATACATACCATTTGAACAGTTTCCTTTAGCGTCTGACTGTACCACATGATTGATAGCAGTGATTAGCGCAAACAAGATGACTGTTCCCGCGGAAAACATTTAGAACTGAATTTTTACAAAACGTAATACAAAACACCTTCTATGAAAAGAAACTTTAATTTTTTGTTTTATATTGATCGTTGATGACTGTATTGCGTGATAAATGACACGAATCGACCAGATTAAAAATTGTATAAGGTTTCACCTTCTAATGTTGAATTTCACTCTATACATTTGTACATGCAGCCTATCGTAATTCATAGGAACATGCTGTCGTTTGGTAACAAGGTCAAAACGGAAGATTTCATTGCGCAATAGAACTTTTGCTATACATTCTTCCTGGATATTTTCCACTGAAGATGTGATTGCGTCTTTTTACACATTTACTCCTTTGCTGTTTCAAATCACAGTTAATGGCAAAACTCTATAAAGATCAAACGAAAAACGACTTGATATATATTTTTCGTATTTTATATATCTGTACGGTATTTGGATGCTATATTTTTTTTAAACAATTGATTTTTTTTCAAATATAAAAATGAAATTCATGCAATTATAAATACTCCAACTAAGTATAACATTAATTGTAACTGATGTCCTGTCTTAGACCTTGAAATGGGAATTGATAATGATAAACGGGACGACTTTTCATTTTCTATTGTCAAATTGCCTTTCCTTGATTCCTTGATAATTATGTTTCGTTGTCCCCTTCTTATAAAAGATACATTTCCCGAGAGGTTCTAAGTGTGCCTATTTAAGTCTTGTATTTCTATGTACTAAATAGCTTTTACAGCAGGGATACAGATATCATAAAATGATCAAATCATTTACTAAATTTTATATATTTGGCTTTATTATGATTTATTTTGATTCAACCAGCAGGTATTTAAAAAGGGCTTTCATTATTAAAAAATTACCGTATAAATATAGGAATTTTCATTAGAAAAAAAATGGTATCGACTAAAAGACTCTTTGATATAGAATTATAGTCATACTGTTGTCGCCCTCGAAACGTTATATGTTTGGGTTTTTTTTTATTATTCATTTCTTCTTTTTTCTGTTTTTTTTTGGGGGGGCGTGGTTTGTGCTTTATCATAACTTCAAAAACAGCTATAAAATATTTGCAATTTTATAGCAAGAAAATGTAAAAAAAGCCTCTAAAGTATAAGAATTGCATTATACAAGCTGGTTCTGTCTGTTTTAGAGATACATGTATAAGAAAATAAACTCAGTATAGATACCAGGATTACAATTTTGTACGCCAGACACGTGTTTCGTCTACAAATGACTCAAAAGGGCCAAATAAAGCACAAAGTTGAAGAGCATTGAGGACCAAAATGTATTAAATCTGTATCTCAAGCTGGTTAGATGAAAAATTACGGTACAAAGAATTATTATAAATATTTAAATATGTCCAAGAGAGGAACACCCATGTCATACAATTATGGCAAATATATACGAAAAATTAAACAATCCTATTTGACAGTTATAGTCATTAAGTCATTGCTTGACTGTTGATTGCTTAACGTACAGTGGCAAATATATCATGCTTCATCGGGACAGTTGTGTCCCTTTTCTGTTTTTTTTTTTTTTTTTTATTATTTCCTTTTTTAAGTACTGTCATTACTCATTGATCTCTAATATATAATTATGTAAGACGATTTCTTGAAAATGTTTCAAAAATAGGAGAAAAATTTCAACGAAAACAACACACAACTTTTACTCATCTACAATATAGAATAACAAAATGATAAATTGAATGCCGAAACAGCACACAATTAAAAAAAATGATGCACTGAAAATATGAATATGTTTCACCATAAAACCAAATATCTTATATAAACCATCCGTTTCTGAATTCAAATTATAATACACAGCTGTTTTAGCTTGGATTTTTTATTCTATTGATTGTACATAATCGACTTTTGGTAAGTGAAGTAAGATTTGTTTCTTGTACTTTGTAAATACGGTAATGAGATTCGTCACATATTGCAACTTTTTGTTTTGATAATGTTTTGATAAAATGTGTTTCAATGTTTAATCAAACTAAAAGAGATGCGAAGCATTACAAAGGGATATTCAAACTCATAAGTCGAGAATAAACTGACAACGCCATGGCTAAAAAAGAAAAAAAGACAAACAGACAAACAACAATACACAAAACACAACATAGAAACCCAAAGACTGAGCAACACGAACCCCAAGAAAAACTTGGGGTGATAGCAGGTGCTCCGGAATAGTAAGCAGATCCTGCACCAGTCGTGGTACTCATGTTAGTACAAACCCGGTTAAAAAGTCTTATTCAGTAGGTCACATTCGGGGAAAAGGGGACGGGATTGTAGTTACGACAAATGGAATATATCCGTTGTCAGATGTGAAACGGATATTCCATAACGGTTAACCACTTCATAATGGCGTCCTTATAATTTACGAAGGGACGATTTCATCTTCACCACTTGGAATTCTTGGTTTTTATAGCTTCCATTTGAGCAGCAACCCTCTATCAAGGAAATTATAATAGGAAAAACAAGCCCTTGAATATCGTATCAACTGGGAGATATATACTCCGTATGCAGGTACTGCTGGAATTGTGCTACGTAGAGATTGAAAGTTCACAATTGGGAAGCTGAATCATCTCTTTTGTCGTAAAGTTGTTTTCAACAGACCATCATAGTCAATTTTTAGATATAAGTCAAGATATGTGGCAGACTTAATTGTATCTGTTGTAACCTTTATCTCAATCTCATGTTGGATGGGATAGACTCACATATGTATTGTTTAAGTCTGAAACCTTAAATGGTTAATAAAATAAAATAGGTTATCGAAATTACAGTTGATTGCCAGCGGTAACTTGGACTATAAAACGGTGCATAACTTTTCGACCAGTTGTTCTGATTTTTACGCCAAAATATCCTGCGCCTTCTGTAAATGACCCGGCATGAGAAAATGTGTAGAAATTCGAAAGGAAAACCAACAGCCTAAACAATGTTAAAAAAAATTGTAAACGAAGTATGGCAGTGGCAGACAGCAACCAACGACAACCACTGTCCTGCCATTATGACAGGCATATACAGAATGTGACGGGGTTAAACTAGTTTGACACACCTCAATTCTACCTCAAACCTGTGACAGTGGTTTAACACAACCTAAGTACAAGCTGTAAAACAGTTGGACAGGGATCACGATAGGTTACGAGCACGAAAACAGTAGATAAGTCAAAGGTCATAAAATATCGATCTTTTCAACTAATGAATAAAACATTTCCTCCAATACTAAGATATTAATCAGTACACCTTCAACGGATTTAGTGAAAACACGTCTTGGGAAAGGATAGACTTGTGTAATGCGTAAATTTTCATAGAGATATTACAATACAAGATCAGATATCTATTAAACTATTAGAAATAAAATCATGGTTTTATGGTTTTAATGTCTTTAGGTTGCTGTGTAATTAATGTATTATATCCTACATCTCCTTTATTCATTTTTTTTATTCTTTCATAGATTTAGGTAATTTACATTGTAAAGAGAGATAACTCAGACAATTCAATTTTATGGTGGATTGTATTTTAATTTTTCTTTTTTCTTAGTGAAGTAAGAAAACTACAATATCATTTTATTTTCAATACCCTGTACTCTGTAAAAGCTATTTTGTAAAATAATGTTCGAACATTTCAAATTTATCAAAACGTTTCTTTCTTTTTTTTTTAATTCTAAATTTTACTTTTATTATAGCAATTTATTTTTATTTAGATTTTTTTAACCGAGCATAATGACACCACTTCAGGTTACATTTTTATTTATAATTTGTCAAATTAATGTTGAACCACCTCGCATTTGTCAAATTAATGACGAACCACCTAATAGTCCCAATTGAAGAATGTCGTTGATTCTATTTCCGATTGGGTTAGACAAAGACTTTACAATTGGTATTAATTTTGCTGCTTCTCAGCCAACACTCGGTATTAAGGAGAAACAGCTAAGACCGATCGGCTTGGTGTAAGAATTTTGGGTACGGGTAGGTCACTGCTCATTTAAGGAGGTGGCACGTTAAGATTTTGACTCAGGATAAAGTCTCGTGGAAAATAGTTCTCGTGTTCACATCATTTAAAATTGTATTGTTATGAGCCCTGAGTATGGATTTTACATTTAATATTCGCCGCTGATCGTTAAGAAGCCATAAATCAATTGATTCAATTGGCTAATTAACAAAACATGACTTACAAAATGAACGATCGACGTCTCTATGATAAAATACTATAGATTTTATATGAATTAGACTAGTTAGTTTTAAAAATCTGTTATATTTTCGAACCTAAACTTGCCAACTCTGCTCTTGGGGGATTTTTAATGCATTCAAATGTAACATTTTTAACTTGCTCCTGATATGCAATCTATCAAATAATGAAAGTCTACCATCAGCGAAGAAAATGTTTGGCCGACAATGTAAAGACGATGGTTATTATGATAATTATCCTTTATTTTATTTTGTACTGCTGACTTACATGTTGTAACAAATTGGAAAAATGAGAGTAAAAATGTTAAAAGAGATATCATCGAAAAAAACATAAAATAGTATTACATAGATTTTTTGATACACTCGTATTACACAATTAAATTTAAAATGATTATCAAAATCTACTGCAAAATTTAATAACTAAGATAAAAGATGGCGAAGCTCCTTTAAGTTATATATTAAATAACTTGACTTTTTACATCCTTTTAACAATTTTATACATTATATAGACTTATGATGTCGATTTTACTGTGACATAGCTGTAACACTCTAACTTCCTATAAAATAGTGAATGATAAGGCTAAAAGAATATAAACAATTCTCTCACCCACCATTATATTAAATCTACGTCGACCATGGTAAACGACAGTGTACACCAAATAAAACATCAATATCTTTATAAATATCAACAATAAATAATCATCCATAATAAAAATGAAAAAATAAAAATTACTGCTATTTAGGCTGGTCCTCTCCCTTGCAACTTACGGGTATCTCAGTCACCAAAACAGAACAGATAAAGGACAGGGAACCATTCTATATTGTGGCTTAACTATTGAGGTATGTTAAAATAGATGAACAGCTTCTGGTTCTGATGTCTTTGGGGCCGAACCATCCATCAAGGTGTCTACGCAGTCCTTATTTAACCCTTTAATTTATTACACAACTACATGCACTGTTTTGCGTCGTCGTAGTAGGCACTGTGTCCTCATGCATACTCATACTGGAATATCCTTTTCTCAAGGCGAGGCGGTCGTCTGCCGGTACATCACCACCATCATCATCGCCATTTTCTATAAGTCGTTTGATTACTGACATGAACATCTCGGTTACGTTTTCATTTGTTTTTGCGCTTGTTTCTGTGTGGGGTAAATTTTCCTTCTCTGCAAAATCCTAAAATACATGAAAATTATCACGATAAAAATAATGCTTCTTACATTTTGAGATATTTTATAATTGAATAACTTATGATAATATACAGTTGATACTTTTATCTTAAAGTACTGGTATTCGGAACTTTTTTTATAAAAAATAAAGACTAAAATGTAAAATGAATTTATCACTTCTAGCGTGTTATAACAGCAGGTATGATACAATATCGATTTCTTACACTACGAATGAAACAATATCGATTTATTACACTATGAATGATACAATATCGATTTCTTACACTATGAATTATACAACATCGAATTGTTACTCTATGAATGAAACAAATATCGATTTCTTACACTATGGATGATACACTATCGATTTCTTACACTATGAAAGATACAACATCGAATAATTTCTCTATGAATAAAACAATTATCGATTTCTTACACTAACAATGATACAACATCGAATTGTTACTCTATAAATGATACAATATCGATTTCTTAAACTATGAATGATACAATATCGATTTCTTACACTATGAATGATTAAAAAAAGCAATTTCTTATACTATAAATGATACAAACCAAAGAAATGAAAGACTAAAGTCTCTCATTTTAATGTTGACAAACCTGAAGATCATCAAATATATACATTAATAGAGGTGTTAATTTTGATAATTTGTCTAGTATTGTTGATGACTCTACCTTTCAAAATTTTATACCTCCATATTTTTATAACATAGAGCCACCTATAATTTCTCATTCGCATAATACAAAACCAGTAGAAGTTTAATTCGTAATTATACGTCAGTTACATTAGATGTTAGTATTGAAAATAATATTCCCTCAACATGAGACATTGAAACATCAAAGTTTAGATATGACCCCTATGGCTATGTAATTACAGGGGACCTCAACATCGTTCAAGACCGAGAGGTTATAAACTTTCTGCGAAAAACAAACCTGCATATCGTATACCGTCGAAAATTAATTGGAATTACATCTCAGCTCCTTTGTTCTACCAGGGGTGATCTGAGCCGGATCACCCCTACCAGATCACCCTAGCTTGAGTTTCTTTGTTCTGCGTGCTTTCCTTTGTTTTGTAACATTTTGGCGGTAATGTCAAATCCACAATAAAACTTAGAATTATTTATACGGAAAAGACTAAACTATCAAAATTTATGTAGAAAAAATCCAGTGTTTATGCTGGGATTCGAACTTAAGAGCTTTATCATATAGACCTACGATTCAGACCCCTACACCTGGACGACTGGGTACAAACTTTCTGTTAATTTAACATATTTAAACATTGTGTCCGGGGCTCATAAAGGGTATATACTATATAGTAATATATAAAGTGTGGCGTTCTAAACTAAATTTTATGAAGTGTAAATGGGGTTTTTTTATCTAATCTAGAACAGCGGGGATGTAAAATATTTATCCCATTCTGACTTGGTGTGTCAGGGTAAGATCACCATCTAGCCTCCAGGGATAACTATTACAGAGTTTCGCCAGGTCATTAAAGATGCTCTTTCATCATACTGGAAACATTGGTGTAAACGAGAGAAATCTGACAAAAAATCACTTGATTCCTATTTAAGAAAATGTCTAAATGAATTTGTTGATATTCGCATATCACATTTCGAAAATAATTTAAAAATGAGTAAAAGAGTATTTAATATGCCCATTTCTAGGATTAAAAACATAATTCAAGTACTCGCAAAGCGTTTTGTGTTTGCGCCGGCCGACAAAGCAACTAACACTGTGGTGGTGGTAAGACGTAAATACTAAACGTCCGTATGAATGAAATTATAAATTCAACTACATTCAAGGCCGAGCGCTCCACAGAGAGTATAATGTTTCTTCGGCCAATTTAAAAGATGTATAAAATTTAATGTACTGTATAAGAGAGGCGAAAGATACCAAAGGAACATTCAAACTCATAAGTCGAAAATAAACTTACAACGCCATGGCCAAAAAGTAAAGGACCAACAGACAAACAATAGTGCACAAAACACAATATAGAAAACTACTGAGTAACACGAACCCCAACAAAAACTGGGGTAATATCAGGTGCTCCGGACGGGTAAGCAGATCCTGCTCCACATGTGGCACCCGTCGTGTTGCTCATGTAAGTACAAACCCGTTATATACATGTATATATATATATATATATATATATACAAGTCTAAATTGAAAACAACGTTCAAACCTATGATTGCGTTGGATAAAAACCGCAATTTTTATACGTGTGCATGCAAAACAAATTTCTTGTTAGAGGGTCTAAATACAGCACAAACAACATTTTCCAAAAGACCAAAAAAGTGAAAAAGTATATTTTAACAAAACGCATTTGACTAACAGGTCGAACAACAAATGTTCTTTAATCCTGCTGACTGCCATTGGCGATTGCCAAATAAACGGATCACAAGGTGTAATAAATGGATCTTGACTTTAAATTTAATACCAAACAGAAAACAATAAACTTGCGGCGAAGATGGTATACCGCAAACAAAGGTGCAAAGATTTTTTGTACAACATATCCGGATTTCGACAATTAATGTCTCTTCAGTGATGTTAGGAATCGAAACGGTTATTGGAAGGCCACATAATTTACCTCAATTTGGGATAGACTCTTGAATTTTGAGGAGTCAAAATAGGATGAACGGATCATATAAACCCGAAGGCAAATATAATACAAGCCCAAACGAAAAAATATAAACAAGTCTAAATTGAAAACAACGTTCAAACCTATGATTGCGTTGGATAAAAACCGCAATTTTTATACGTGTGCATGCAAAACAAATTTCTTGTTAGAGGGTCTAAATACAGCACAAACAACATTTTCCAAAAGACCAAAAAAGTGAAAAAGTATATTTTAACAAAACGCATTTGACTAACAGGTCGAACAACAAATGTTCTTTAATCCTGCTGACTGCCATTGGCGATTGCCAAATAAACGGATCACAAGGTGTAATAAATGGATCTTGACTTTAAATTTAATACCAAACAGAAAACAATAAACTTGCGGCGAAGATGGTATACCGCAAACAAAGGTGCAAAGATTTTTTGTACAACATATCCGGATTTCGACAATTAATGTCTCTTCAGTGATGTTAGGAATCGAAACGGTTATTGGAAGGCCACATAATTTACCTCAATTTGGGATAGACTCTTGAATTTTGAGGAGTCAAAATAGGATGAACGGATCATATAAACCCGAAGGCAAATATAATACAAGCCCAAACGAAAAAATATAAACAAGTCTAAATTGAAAACAACGTTCAAACCTATGATTGCGTTGGATAAAAACCGCAATTTTTATACGTGTGCATGCAAAACAAATTTCTTGTTAGAGGGTCTAAATACAGCACAAACAACATTTTCCAAAAGACCAAAAAAGTGAAAAAGTATATTTTAACAAAACGCATTTGACTAACAGGTCGAACAACAAATGTTCTTTAATCCTGCTGACTGCCATTGGCGATTGCCAAATAAACGGATCACAAGGTGTAATAAATGGATCTTGACTTTAAATTTAATACCAAACAGAAAACAATAAACTTGCGGCGAAGATGGTATACCGCAAACAAAGGTGCAAAGATTTTTTGTACAACATATCCGGATTTCGACAATTAATGTCTCTTCAGTGATGTTAGGAATCGAAACGGTTATTGGAAGGCCACATAATTTACCTCAATTTGGGATAGACTCTTGAATTTTGAGGAGTCAAAATAGGATGAACGGATCATATAAACCCGAAGGCAAATATAATACAAGCCCAAACGAAAAAATATAAACAAGTCTAAATTGAAAACAACGTTCAAACCTATGATTGCGTTGGATAAAAACCGCAATTTTTATACGTGTGCATGCAAAACAAATTTCTTGTTAGAGGGTCTAAATACAGCACAAACAACATTTTCCAAAAGACCAAAAAAGTGAAAAAGTATATTTTAACAAAACGCATTTGACTAACAGGTCGAACAACAAATGTTCTTTAATCCTGCTGACTGCCATTGGCGATTGCCAAATAAACGGATCACAAGGTGTAATAAATGGATCTTGACTTTAAATTTAATACCAAACAGAAAACAATAAACTTGCGGCGAAGATGGTATACCGCAAACAAAGGTGCAAAGATTTTTTGTACAACATATCCGGATTTCGACAATTAATGTCTCTTCAGTGATGTTAGGAATCGAAACGGTTATTGGAAGGCCACATAATTTACCTCAATTTGGGATAGACTCTTGAATTTTGAGGAGTCAAAATAGGATGAACGGATCATATAAACCCGAAGGCAAATATAATACAAGCCCAAACGAAAAAATATAAACAAGTCTAAATTGAAAACAACGTTCAAACCTATGATTGCGTTGGATAAAAACCGCAATTTTTATACGTGTGCATGCAAAACAAATTTCTTGTTAGAGGGTCTAAATACAGCACAAACAACATTTTCCAAAAGACCAAAAAAGTGAAAAAGTATATTTTAACAAAACGCATTTGACTAACAGGTCGAACAACAAATGTTCTTTAATCCTGCTGACTGCCATTGGCGATTGCCAAATAAACGGATCACAAGGTGTAATAAATGGATCTTGACTTTAAATTTAATACCAAACAGAAAACAATAAACTTGCGGCGAAGATGGTATACCGCAAACAAAGGTGCAAAGATTTTTTGTACAACATATCCGGATTTCGACAATTAATGTCTCTTCAGTGATGTTAGGAATCGAAACGGTTATTGGAAGGCCACATAATTTACCTCAATTTGGGATAGACTCTTGAATTTTGAGGAGTCAAAATAGGATGAACGGATCATATAAACCCGAAGGCAAATATAATACAAGCCCAAACGAAAAAATATAAACAAGTCTAAATTGAAAACAACGTTCAAACCTATGATTGCGTTGGATAAAAACCGCAATTTTTATACGTGTGCATGCAAAACAAATTTCTTGTTAGAGGGTCTAAATACAGCACAAACAACATTTTCCAAAAGACCAAAAAAGTGAAAAAGTATATTTTAACAAAACGCATTTGACTAACAGGTCGAACAACAAATGTTCTTTAATCCTGCTGACTGCCATTGGCGATTGCCAAATAAACGGATCACAAGGTGTAATAAATGGATCTTGACTTTAAATTTAATACCAAACAGAAAACAATAAACTTGCGGCGAAGATGGTATACCGCAAACAAAGGTGCAAAGATTTTTTGTACAACATATCCGGATTTCGACAATTAATGTCTCTTCAGTGATGTTAGGAATCGAAACGGTTATTGGAAGGCCACATAATTTACCTCAATTTGGGATAGACTCTTGAATTTTGAGGAGTCAAAATAGGATGAACGGATCATATAAACCCGAAGGCAAATATAATACAAGCCCAAACGAAAAAATATAAACAAGTCTAAATTGAAAACAACGTTCAAACCTATGATTGCGTTGGATAAAAACCGCAATTTTTATACGTGTGCATGCAAAACAAATTTCTTGTTAGAGGGTCTAAATACAGCACAAACAACATTTTCCAAAAGACCAAAAAAGTGAAAAAGTATATTTTAACAAAACGCATTTGACTAACAGGTCGAACAACAAATGTTCTTTAATCCTGCTGACTGCCATTGGCGATTGCCAAATAAACGGATCACAAGGTGTAATAAATGGATCTTGACTTTAAATTTAATACCAAACAGAAAACAATAAACTTGCGGCGAAGATGGTATACCGCAAACAAAGGTGCAAAGATTTTTTGTACAACATATCCGGATTTCGACAATTAATGTCTCTTCAGTGATGTTAGGAATCGAAACGGTTATTGGAAGGCCACATAATTTACCTCAATTTGGGATAGACTCTTGAATTTTGAGGAGTCAAAATAGGATGAACGGATCATATAAACCCGAAGGCAAATATAATACAAGCCCAAACGAAAAAATATAAACAAGTCTAAATTGAAAACAACGTTCAAACCTATGATTGCGTTGGATAAAAACCGCAATTTTTATACGTGTGCATGCAAAACAAATTTCTTGTTAGAGGGTCTAAATACAGCACAAACAACATTTTCCAAAAGACCAAAAAAGTGAAAAAGTATATTTTAACAAAACGCATTTGACTAACAGGTCGAACAACAAATGTTCTTTAATCCTGCTGACTGCCATTGGCGATTGCCAAATAAACGGATCACAAGGTGTAATAAATGGATCTTGACTTTAAATTTAATACCAAACAGAAAACAATAAACTTGCGGCGAAGATGGTATACCGCAAACAAAGGTGCAAAGATTTTTTGTACAACATATCCGGATTTCGACAATTAATGTCTCTTCAGTGATGTTAGGAATCGAAACGGTTATTGGAAGGCCACATAATTTACCTCAATTTGGGATAGACTCTTGAATTTTGAGGAGTCAAAATAGGATGAACGGATCATATAAACCCGAAGGCAAATATAATACAAGCCCAAACGAAAAAATATAAACAAGTCTAAATTGAAAACAACGTTCAAACCTATGATTGCGTTGGATAAAAACCGCAATTTTTATACGTGTGCATGCAAAACAAATTTCTTGTTAGAGGGTCTAAATACAGCACAAACAACATTTTCCAAAAGACCAAAAAAGTGAAAAAGTATATTTTAACAAAACGCATTTGACTAACAGGTCGAACAACAAATGTTCTTTAATCCTGCTGACTGCCATTGGCGATTGCCAAATAAACGGATCACAAGGTGTAATAAATGGATCTTGACTTTAAATTTAATACCAAACAGAAAACAATAAACTTGCGGCGAAGATGGTATACCGCAAACAAAGGTGCAAAGATTTTTTGTACAACATATCCGGATTTCGACAATTAATGTCTCTTCAGTGATGTTAGGAATCGAAACGGTTATTGGAAGGCCACATAATTTACCTCAATTTGGGATAGACTCTTGAATTTTGAGGAGTCAAAATAGGATGAACGGATCATATAAACCCGAAGGCAAATATAATACAAGCCCAAACGAAAAAATATAAACAAGTCTAAATTGAAAACAACGTTCAAACCTATGATTGCGTTGGATAAAAACCGCAATTTTTATACGTGTGCATGCAAAACAAATTTCTTGTTAGAGGGTCTAAATACAGCACAAACAACATTTTCCAAAAGACCAAAAAAGTGAAAAAGTATATTTTAACAAAACGCATTTGACTAACAGGTCGAACAACAAATGTTCTTTAATCCTGCTGACTGCCATTGGCGATTGCCAAATAAACGGATCACAAGGTGTAATAAATGGATCTTGACTTTAAATTTAATACCAAACAGAAAACAATAAACTTGCGGCGAAGATGGTATACCGCAAACAAAGGTGCAAAGATTTTTTGTACAACATATCCGGATTTCGACAATTAATGTCTCTTCAGTGATGTTAGGAATCGAAACGGTTATTGGAAGGCCACATAATTTACCTCAATTTGGGATAGACTCTTGAATTTTGAGGAGTCAAAATAGGATGAACGGATCATATAAACCCGAAGGCAAATATAATACAAGCCCAAACGAAAAAATATAAACAAGTCTAAATTGAAAACAACGTTCAAACCTATGATTGCGTTGGATAAAAACCGCAATTTTTATACGTGTGCATGCAAAACAAATTTCTTGTTAGAGGGTCTAAATACAGCACAAACAACATTTTCCAAAAGACCAAAAAAGTGAAAAAGTATATTTTAACAAAACGCATTTGACTAACAGGTCGAACAACAAATGTTCTTTAATCCTGCTGACTGCCATTGGCGATTGCCAAATAAACGGATCACAAGGTGTAATAAATGGATCTTGACTTTAAATTTAATACCAAACAGAAAACAATAAACTTGCGGCGAAGATGGTATACCGCAAACAAAGGTGCAAAGATTTTTTGTACAACATATCCGGATTTCGACAATTAATGTCTCTTCAGTGATGTTAGGAATCGAAACGGTTATTGGAAGGCCACATAATTTACCTCAATTTGGGATAGACTCTTGAATTTTGAGGAGTCAAAATAGGATGAACGGATCATATAAACCCGAAGGCAAATATAATACAAGCCCAAACGAAAAAATATAAACAAGTCTAAATTGAAAACAACGTTCAAACCTATGATTGCGTTGGATAAAAACCGCAATTTTTATACGTGTGCATGCAAAACAAATACTAAATAGTGTGTTAAAATTACATTGTTAGGCAATCTATATATATATATATAGATTGCCTAACAATGTAATTTTAACACACTATTTAGTATGTAAATATTAGAATGTTTAAAATATTTGCAAAACGATAAAAATAAACGCAATAATATTTCGCTAGACCAACTAGCTTTATCAAGCGTGCATCTATCCAGGTGAAATCGGATGTAGATGATAAGAAACTTTTGCAGCTCAATGTACATGTTGCACATGAATTTAGCTGCCTTGTAAATAATACATAATTTGGATGAAGTTTAAGATTATATACAAAATTGGTGGTTGAAGTTTGCAACGTCCATTGGCCAATATTACAGGATCTTGGGAGTTGCATGCGAATGCGCATTTACGCTTATGTAAGCCAACGTGGACGTCAAGGGTACTCAAATCCCATAACCCCGTTTGAACTGCGAACTTAAACAGGAATGCAACTTGCTGATCTATAATTTTAAGGATATCTGAAACTTTCAGTTAAGAACCAAACAATATATAATACCTCGATATCTTGTTTGTTGATTTCACGTTTCATATCAGATTTGTTTCCTACTAGAATTACAACTGCTTTCTTGGTCCCCTGATTGTATTTTTTCCATCGCTCACATATATCGCTTGCTGTCTCTAAAGATTCCTTAAAGAAAAAGACCACTATAACATGATAAGTCGGAAAAGTTGACAAAATGTTATACATATTATATTTTTGTTGTCCGCGGCATATGTGAGTAGCGCTATTTTGTTACATTGTTTAAAGTTTATTGCCTAGCCACGTCCCTTTCCAACTTATTTCTGTTTTCTTTCTTTGAATCATTTATTTGTGTCTGCTTCGTGTCATGAACCAGTAATTCCGTGGTTGTCGTTTGTGAAATGATTCACCTTTGTCATGCTGTGGCCTTTTTACAACATATCTTTGTCTCCTTTCTAAGGCCATACGGTGACCTCATTTGTTTTCACACTCGTCATTTGATTCCTGGTGTATAATCGTCTCATTGGATATCAAACCACATCACCTTACTTTAATATGTGTATACATGTACATATAAATCTGTGCTGATCTCTTTCACAGTGCACATAACTACAAAGCACACCTTGTCTTTAATTTTCTATTCATTTACAATACTGTCTTTGGTACCTTCTAATAAATATCTTCCTGTTTTGGTTTTTTTTGGTAAATTAAGTATTTGTGTCTTACTCTAAAATAAATAAAAACTTAAGTTTACTTGTTTGGATTGTTTTACATTTGTCAATTCGGGGCCTTTTATGGCTGACTATATATGCGGTATGGGTTTTGCTCATTCTTGAAAGCCTTACGATGACCTTAAGTTGCTAACTTCTATGTCATTTGGTCTCTGGTAGAGAGTTGTCTCATTTACAATCATACCGCATCTTCTTACTTTTATAATTAGTTATTATAATATTTAAAACATTTTAAAACAATGATTAATAATGAAAAAAGATTTTTTTTTTCAAAACATACCTGTTTGGAGATATCATACACAATAACAGTTGCGTCCATCGTAGAATAATAGTTGATTGAGAATCTCTCGTATCTTCTATCCCCATCTGTGTCATTCTGAAACATCATTACTATACATATTGAATAATATCTGATTTGATGAAAATCATAAATTTGGTCATGTTGAGGAGCATAATTAAGTTATAAAAAGCCCAAATATGACAAAATGTGAATCAATTTAAAAATAAAATGGCCTGATTTATGTCCCCTTTTAGTGCATTATTACAGAAGGCAGGGATTATCTTCTTTTATTTTACACCCAAACTACACCTCTTGATATAATAATATGTGCATTTCTTTTTTTATATTCGCTAGTGAGTTGAGACTCAGACATATAGTAGGGGTCAACCAATTCGTGATGGTGTCCGGTAAATCTATTAAGGGTCGATTTTGGTCATTTTTTTCCACATAACTCTTGTTTTGGCCGTTTCTATATTAGGATCACATCCCTATTAAAAATGAAGTCCGTATATTGCGAACGTGTACGAGCGTAAAGTATTAAGGATATTAGCTCCTCTGTTTAAAATAACAAGATTTTCAACAGATTGTAATAAATTGATGGTATACAAATAACAGAATTTAAAAAGCAGAAAAAAATTATAGGTCATTGTCCTAGTTTTTAAGATATAATCAATTGGAAATTTGGCGGGAAATGATTCTCTCTAGATTTTTCTCACATTCAATATTGGCACCTTTTTTTCTTTCAAAAACTATGAAAAATAACAAGGAATTTATAAGATTTTCAAAAATGGTTTTTTATTTACATGTATATGTCATAAAATCATGTAAAAAAAAGGGGTTAGCGGGCACATTTTTTGTTGGCACTACATCGGTAAAAGGATTCGGAATATCTAACAAAAATTTAAAAAAAAAACAAGAGGAGCGAACATCCTAATTAAGATTCGAATATGCCATGCGAGCTCGAGGAAGCAGCATATGCGCTACATATGCGCTACTGCTGTGAAATGGGAAATCTACAATTGCAGCTGAAATCATATTTTTTCATAGATTTTAGTTTGAACTCGTTCATCCATATCGATATCGAGTAAAGGATCAAGACATGTAACAAACCTTCCAGTTTCGGTAATTTCTTTACTCTGTATATTTATAGGATAAAAATTCGTTTTAAATAACACGACTGAAAATATAAGAATGCACTGTGGTTTTTAGGGTAAAATCTAAAACCAACAACTACTATTGCAGAAGCTAAAGAGACATAAAATGGAACAAGCGACCAAACACGTCAGAATTAACTTTGTTTTATTGATTGATTGATAAGTTGTTGTTTAACGCCACTTTCAGCACTATTGTTCTATTTCGTAGCGGTCAGTTTTTATTGATGGAGGGAGCCAGAGTGCCCGGAGAGAATAACCGACCATCTGTACGTGTAGGAAAAATTAACAATCCTAGTCAAATAACTGTAAAGAATAACAACAAATATATCATACTTACAAGCAGTATACGAATCTGTCTTCCATTTACTTCTACGGTATGCGACGTCTATTTGAATATAAAAAACATAAAACTTATATTTTGAAACTATTTTGTTTAAAATCTATTAAAATTCTTTTTCATATGATACTTTCCTTTTCATGTATTCAACTTTTACATTTCTTTTTTGGAAATTTTCTTTTTTATGTATTTAACTTTTGCATTTCTTTTTTGGGAAATTTTCTTTTTCATGTATTCAACTTCTGCATTTCTGTTTTGGGTATTTTTCTTTTTCATGTACTCAACTTTTACATTTCTTTTTGGAAATTTTCTTTTTCATATATTCAACTTTTGCATTTCTGTTTTGGAAATTTCTTTTTTATGTATTCAACTTTTGCATTTCTTTTTTGAAAATTGGCATTATAATTTACAAATGGGTTTAATGTATTTTATAACGAGCAAGCCCCACACAAGAAACCTCCCTTTAATATTCATTCATTTTTCGTCCATTTATTTATAAATTTGTTTATTTACTTGTGTATTTAATAATTCTAATATTAACGATCAAAACCATCTATACCGATATAATGTATTGGCTGCACGAGAATAAAATTATATGATATGTATAACCCTAACTACACAACATGTTCATGATAGCATATTCTTTAACAGACACAAAGTACCTTTTTGCTATATGTTAACTCACTCCTTCAACTCCCTTTATATTACAAAAATACATCATGATAAGTTAATAATGGTCATGCCTGAGGCTAGTTATCCCACGATTTAGGAGCAATTTGAAAGACTTTACTAGAGTTTTACTACGTTTTCTCCATAAAAGAGATCATTATGTTGTAATGTTGCACTACTGTTTCAGGTTAAGGTGAAGGTTGGCGCCTGTTAAAACGTTTAAACCCGCAGCATTTGTATGCACTTGTCTAAAATCAGGATTCTGTTGTTCAGTGGTTGTCTTTTGTTGATGTGGTTCATAAGTGTTTCTCTTTTCTCGTTTTTTTATATAGATTAGACCGTTGGTTTTCCTGTTTGAATTATTTTACCCTAGTCATTTTGGGGCCTTTTATAGCTTGCTGTTCGGTGTGAGCCAATGCTCCGTGTTGAAGGCCGTACTTTGACCTATAATTGTTTACTTTTCACACATTGTGATTTGGATGGAGAGTTGTCTCATTGGCACTCATACCACATCTTCTTCTTTCTATCATCCTATATGCAGATTATCAGTAATCAATGTATTCCCTGGACAGGTAATGAAATATCTTAGACACTTCTGTATAATTTTATAACTAAAGAATTGTTAGTCCATTCCAATTTAAAGTAAATTAAGAATAGTAAAAAAACATAGAAAGAAAGTCAAAACCATGACCAAAGGAAAAACATTGTAAAGAAAACCCGTTCATTGAGTGATGGGACATCATCAATTTATCTAAAACAGAATTTAAAGAACTTGCAAGATGCATATTGCGTCTTTGAAAAGTTTTTATTGATGAATTTTACTTTTAATAAGTCAAAAAATCGTCCAGTTGGGGGTGCACAAATATTACCCATTGGAGCACAAAAATATCAAATATCAATCAACCAAACCGAACAAATATGTTGTGGATTAAAATGCCCATGATGATTTTCAATGTATTGGTTTTTGGAGTCAATTTTGGTATTTAATAAAGTAATATTTTGTATAACTTTTCTTTCTTGTAATCGAAATTTGTATAAACGGTCGACAATATTGTCGAACGAACATTTGTCTTATACCCAGTCCACAGCGAAAGTGCAGTACATTACTACATGGTTCAATCAAGTAATCTCCGTAACATTGGTGGCTCGTAAATCTACAGAACATAGTAGAACGTTCACTAGATCTTAAATCTATAGAACAAAGTAGAACATTCACTACATCTTGAATCTATAGAACATAGTAGAACGTTCACTAAATCGTAAATCTATAGAACATAGTAGAACGTTCACTAGATCTTAAATCTATAGAACATAGTAGACCGTTCACTAGATCTTAATCTATAGAACATAGTAGAACTGTCACTAGATCTTAAAAATCTATAAAACATAGAAGAACGTCACTTGATCGTAAATATATAGAACTTATTTTAACGTTCACTAGATCTTAACTCTATTGAGCATAGTAGAACGTTAAATAGATCTTAAATCTATTGAACATAGTAGAGCGTTCACTAGATCTTTAATCTATAGAACATAGTAGAACGTTCACTAGATCGTAAATCTATAGAACATAGTAGAAGGTTCACTATATCTTAAATCTATAGAACATAGTAGAACTTTCAATAGATCTCATAATTAAAATAGCTTAAAACAAAGAAGAGAAGAGAATGCATTAACATTTTGTACTTACACTGTTCAAACTTTGTGTAGGTAAATGTTCTTTCTTGAATTTATCTCCCTGAAGAAAACAAATCACATAAACAAATCATGTCATTGATACTCATTACATTAATATTGCTGGCTTGAATAATTTTTGAATCACTTATTCGTGGGACATTGTCAAAACGGTAAATTTTGCATAAATTTGGTACACAGACTTCGAATGATTTTATTTATGAATACTAAGTAAAACACGTAAAAGAAAATGTATGCCATTAAAATAATAATCTAATGATACAAATAACAATACATATGCTATACAGTCCAACTTTGCACATACATACATATAATATTGCGAGGTTAAGATAGTTTTCCTGTGATGGAAAATTTCTCATTATCCTAGTACCAAAACCTTTAAAAGCCAGACGAGATCACAATAGCAATAATGAAAGGAACATCCAACATGATTGAAAACTTAAATAGTCGAACAATACTAGCCTGAGACATCTCAAATCAGAAATAGTAAAGCAGTAACAGTGAAATATAATGTTGTATAAAAGTCTCCCACAAGAACTTAAATACTAGTAAATGAGGTTATGTCCTTCAGGCATTTTTGCATGCGTTGCCAGCTTCAGGTAATCATAACAAAAATCTTTAAAATCTTTAAAATGCGTTTTGTCTGAAAATAAACAACACAGACATTCAGTGTCCTCACTGTTAAATTGTTATTATATTTATGTATTAGTTATTAGTATGTAGTTTCTTCTATCACTTCTGTTTGTAGTAGATGCTTCTGCTCGACGTATGGTGTATACATATCTCAATTGATACGTTATGCTCGTGCATGATCACACTATATGGACTTCATATACAAGAGTGTGCTCCTTACGCAGAAACTGCTCCAACAGAGTTATGAGGAGGAAAGATTAAAAATGACACTCCGTAAATTTTATGGACACCATCACAAATTTGTTGATCTATACGATGTGTCTGTGTAGTAACTAACTAACGACATTTTTACCACGTTTTAGATTGTATGTTACCATCTACGTCGTCTGTCCGCTAAGTACCGAACGTGACCTATTCCCGAATATGACTGTTTTGCCGAGTGTGAATTCACATTGCTATACGACGTGTCTCGGTATTTATGCATCCAACATTTATGTTTTTATTTATGATGTTTCTTTTGTAAGTACGGTTAAATATTGTGTTATGTCTTATCGTTTGTGGTTTGAATTCTGTATTTTCGGTACATTTCACAGATGTCTTATTTGTCAGTATAGTCGAGTTAATTTCAATTTTCCATGGATAAAGTATTGTGTTAGTCCAAATAGTTATGACGTCGTCACAGCATTAATTTAAAATAGCCTTTCAAGACCGTCATAATCATGATAATTATTTGGACTAGTAATGTGAAAATAATTGTGAATTTTTTTTATCTCGTTCCTTATAAATTGCAAGATTACCTGTAATAACATATACGTCACAAAAATACGTCACTTTTTGTGGCGTTGGTCCATTCGTGTGACGCGCAGTTTGTGGTGTTCTGTGCTGTCGTTAATTCATGTTCGTTGTTGTTCTGCGGTTTGTAATGTACTGTTATATTATTTGTTTATGTATTTCTCTGTGCTAGGTGTTATTGCGTTTGTTTGTACTGTGTTCCTGCCATGTGGTGTTGTCTTTTTTGCGGTATTTTTTAACATTGCCATATAAGCGGGAGGTTTGGCTAGCCATAAAAACAGGTTCAACCAAACATTTTTTCTTAAAATGTCCTGTATCATGTCAGGAATATTGCAAGTGATATCAAATAGTTCTTTTTCTAAGTATGTTGGCGTATGTTTTTGTTACAGTTCAGTGTTTCTGTTGTTCCGTTGTTTTCCTCTTATAGTTGATGTGTTTCCCTCGGTTTTAGTTTGTAACCCGGATTTGTTTTCTCTTAATCGATTTTTGACTTTTGAACATTGGTATACTACTGTTGCCTTTATTAATTACTATAATTGTACTCACAATAAAGCGATTGACCAAGCTTGTTTTCCCACATCCTGACGAACCTGCCACTAGTATTGAAAACGTGGAATTGCTGAAACCATACAAATTATTATTTTTTAATCTTTTTTAACCAACTCAGATCACCCTATAAGCCCGCTGAATCAATGGAGGTGCTTATTCGGATATTTTGGTATATTTGTTTTGTTACCTTTCAAGTATGATTCTATTCCGTTATGAGCTTTTTTTCAAAGTAAAGTTCTTTTCTTATACTGATATTTCTTGTTTTCTTTTTTGTACCTATTGGATGTTTTTTAATCGAAATTTGAAAAATTGAGATTTGAGATCTAAAACCTACTTTTACAACGTGACATGTACAAGGGTCTGTTTCCATATATTAAGTACCTTTGTTAATGATTGTCTTTGGTGTTGTTTTGTTTTATGTGGACACTATGGTGTTCATGGCAGGACTAAGGTCCCTTTTGAATTGATTTACAATGTGTTTTACTCAATACTACACATACTATTGAAAATATGTTGTTTTTTTAAAGTTTTAAGAGAAGAATAAACTATAGTGTTAATACTTCATAATCCGTATGAGATAAGCATGACCTATTGATGAAGAAACAAACGACTTCGAGTTAATACCTGAATCGAAATACATTTAAACATAAGGAGATTTATAATGATTGTAAATGAGACAATTATCAAAAAATGAAAACAACACGTTATAAATTTCATGCGTCCAAAGCGCTTTTTTGAAATATTTATTCGAAACGCTCATAGCCGAATTTTTGAAAGAAAATCTGAGACAAAATGACAAGAATGTTAACAACTTCCTGTATAGGTTCTTGTACATTCTTCAACAATGACAAATCGAGTAAGCTAAACTATTCTTTTCTTTTTTTAAATATTTACAATGTGATGAGTACCGATAAATTCATTATGTTGACATCTTTCTACAGTCCTAAATTTTGAAACTTAAAGAATGAGTTTTTTCAAAGCGAAAGTGAGTTTATATGGATCAAATGTTAATTATGAGCTCTATAAATAACATCATCGTAACATTTAGAATATGAAATCCCGATTGTAATACGATTTCTAGTTTCAGCTAACTTCTAAGAAAAAAATGTTTATCAAGGAAAAAATAACTAATGGTTTTAAGTAATTTGTGTTCTATCGACGAGGGTCGTAATTATGTGAGAGTCGTAATCGGCATGTCCATAACAGATAGAACACATTGAATGAATACCGCTTTTGCTCCTAAAATATAATTTCGTCAAATTAAACATGAAATTTTATCTGATGTTGTTTCTTAAAGGTTAAAACCGGGTTCCTTCGCTTTCTTTTTTCTAATTTTAATTTTCACATAAGACATTTCAAAATGAGACGATTTCTCTATTCAAAATATTGTCTATCACCAGATTTAAAAAGTAATGATGCAACGACAAATAATCTTTTCAATTAAAAAGTCCATCAAGTTCTGTCTAGCAAATGTACAAACATGGAGGAATTTTTATCAAATTTAAACTAATTATAAGACATTAGAAAAACTCAACAACCTTTTTGGCCCTCAAATGTCAGATTTAATAACGACATTTCAAACATTTTACTGGACAATAACATAGGATATTCCTATGGCGAGTTTTTCTTCGGATAGAATTATTGAAAACATACGTGTAAAAAAACAATCTACAATTAGTATTACAATCAGAGAGCTAGTGTCCATGCTAGATATAAAATAAGGAGATTGGGTATGGTTGCCAATGAGACTAATAACCCACAGTGTCCTAATGACATTGCGGACATTATAGTTCACGTTACGGTCTTTAACAATGAGAAAAACCCTTATTGTATTGTCAGTTAAAAAGGCCGTGACATAACAAAATATAAAACACTTCAAAAGGAAAACCCAACTGCCTAAATTATGAAAAAATAATAAACGAAAAAAATTATATACCTGACCGGTTTTATCGCTATATTCAAACTTATCTTTCCCTAGACAAGGGGATACAGTCGATTGAGATGTTTTGAATTTTGTCTCCTGAAACATTCCCTCAAGTTGGTAAATTTTTGTTTTACAGAAAATGTACAGTCTCGTTAATGTACATTTATACGAGTACAATAAACAGCCCACATGCAAGCTAAAAATAAACAGGTTAACTCCAAACATAACACACGTAATAAATTATCGTCATTTAAGGTTCATCATAACAAATAAACAAAAATGGCTGTATTTACTCCTAAAAAACTACTCATTGTACAAACTTACCTGTCCAGTTTGGAAAGTTTTAAGGCCTGGCATCCACTAGATATATACAAATTTAAAGTTAAATGCATTTTTTTGTTTCAGAAAGATAAAATCATTTTTGGATTTTGATGGGCATTGTTTTTTCTTTCTGCAGAAAGCCATCTAATTAACTATCGAGTTGACCTCCAAAGTCATCCGATGACCATATAAGCGATGTAAACATAAATAAAGATATAAATAAATTAAGTGAACTCGTGCTATTGGATTTTTCTAGGTCTGTTTAATTTCATATGATAGATTAAAAATATATGTTTATCATCGTTTTTACCTGTATAAGAATGATTTTTTGTGGATCGGATCAGTCAATCAAATGATTTACCTTTGTTTCACTTTCAATGTTGACATTCTTTTCCTTTAAATAACTTTACACATACAATTCACGTGTTATCCATCTCTAGCTAAGGGGTTAAATTGAAGTTCACATGAATACGGATTCAATGAGGTCGAATTATTCACTTGCAAGTGAATAATTCATCATCAATGTTTCTTAAAATTGAGAATGGAAATGGGGAATGTGTCAAAGAGACAACAACCCGACCATAGAACAGACAACCGCAGAAGGTCACCAACAGGTCTTCAATGCAGCGAGAAATTCCCGCACCGGGAGGCGTCCTTCAGCTGGCCCCTAAACAAATATATATACTAGTTCAGTGATAATGAACGCCATACTAAACTCCAAATTGTACACAAGAAACTAAAATTAAAAATAATACAAGACTGACAAAGGCTAGAGGCTCCTGACTTGGGACAGGCGCAAAAATGCGGCGGGGTTAAACATGTTTATGAGATCTCAACCCTCCTTCTTAGCTTATTTTGACAAAATTGAACCATACTGGCGGCTAAAAGCGAATAATATTTTCACTATTTCACTTTCATTAATGATTGAACAAAAAAAATCATATATTAGATTTTTGATATATCTCGTAGCTAGTGCCCCTTTAAAATGCAAATGACTGTCGACATATCATGTCAACGTATATTTGTTCCGCCTAACAGAAGTTCCACTGAAAACTTTGTTATAAACAATGTCATAATATCTGTTCTTGTTGGAACAAATACTCCATAACCTTTATTCCGTAAGGAACAAATACTGTATTATCTGTTCCAGCGGAAATAATATTACAGAGTATTTTTTCCATTCGGAACTTATATTATGAAGCGACTTCTATTCCGTGACAAAAAATATTAAAATTTCTTTGCAATAATAATATAACAGAAAATGTAGTCTATTTGAAATAATAGAACTTTGTATGGACACATAATATATTTTAATTTACCTTTTCTTTGCTTTATGATTTAAATCCATGTCAAATCCATAAGGTTAATATCTAGTTTGTTTATAAGTAACGGCCATGTTTGTATCGATCTGAATGAACTGTGTTACAGTAGAATGAACAAAATCATTGAATGGATTTTAAACAAATTTATGCTGCAGTCGACCTTTCTAAGTATATGTAAGAGAATGATAATCCCTTTCTTCGTGATTAAGTACGAGCGTAAACGAGTACTTATCATGAAGTAAGGGATTATTTAATAGTTATACACCGGAGGCCGGAGGGGTTTCTTATCCAGACACACCGTATCCCGAAGTGTATAACTAACTTACATCCGATGCTAAACCCTATATTTGTTTACATTGAATATTAAATGAAAAAGAAGGGATAGCATTTTTTTGACAATATCAAACCATGATTTATACGGAGGAATAGGTGTGTCTGGATTAGAAACTGGACGACCGGACACGCTTAACATACAAATTTACAGATTGCATATGTAGGAACCCCCCGTTTTGGGGGCAATCCAAAAGGGGGGATCCGAGCGTTGGAATCTCCCTTTTTTACCATCAATTTGTTAGAATGGAGACATATGGCTGGACCACCCCCCCCCCCCCCCCCTTTATCCTGGGTTAGCACCCCTTTTTAAAAATGGCTGGATCCGCCCCTGGTTGCCATCATTATCTTCAACAATCCAAAAATTAATAAATTTATTTTAATGATAAAGACTTAGTCCAAATGTAAACTATATGTTTTATTTAATGTATAATTTACATACAAGTTCCAGGAGTTACTGTATTTAAATGATTTTTTTTTATTCAAAATAGATGCTAAAGATTTTTTTCGCTATTGGAATTTCCTGAAATATATATTTTTTTTAATATGTCTTGAAACAACTTGTAGTGAACACTATTCGTAATCTCTTGTGGTCATGCTATTAAAAAGATCAATTCATATTGTTATGAATAACAATGGACTGTGTTTTCGGGATGTAGAAGCAGGGGTTTCCAGAAACCCCGCTCGTCATACCCTGTGGTCAAAATCCATTGTTATTCGTAACAATAGATCTATTCAATTTACACTTGTTTCAGAAATAGAAACTGTGAAGTATAACAATAGAACTGGGGTGTAACATTCTCTTACAAACTTAGAATATTGTAAAGTGCTCAAGGCTCAAATGATCTCTTAATTGGTTGTATTTAAGAATTAGTTTCATTGTCAGTGCAATGTTTATAATTAATGCATGACTTCCTTTTTAGACATTTCATTTATGGATTATATTTAGTGATGTAAGGACTTTCTTATCATTTGGGAAATATTTTTTTAAAAATGCGTTATACATATTACATGTATGCGACACAACAGAACAATGAAAATGAAGGAATTGTATGTTTTCTGATTGTGAGTATAGATGTAAATCATGTAATATTTTAGTGATGAATTATCCCTTTTTTTTAATTTACAGTTTAAATCAATTGATACATTTCATTTACAACTAAATTTTATTTAGCAGCCAATATTTTGGTCCGGCTTTTTCAGTACACCAAATACTATTTCATTATGTCAGGGAAATGTTCAAATAACATGCCTTTAAAATTTTTTAATATGTTCAAGACGTAAATTAAATTCCTGTTTTTTTTTATCGGAATATTGGAAATAACTATTCTTCCAAACCGCTGGTCCAGTGATCAAAGTTTTTGAAAGCTATAAAGATTAAGGTATTTTGTTTATTTTAAAGCTTTTTTTTTTTCTTTTTTTGCAAAAGCTTTGATATTGTTTAATCATTTAGTAATTTGAAGTTATTAATATTTTCATAATAACATTCACGGTACCAATTTTACTGCACAGTAAACTTAAATTTATTTTGAGTTTTTTGTTTGTTTCACAATTCAACTGTTAGTCAGTTTCAATCACTGTGTGATAAATCCTTTCAATCGGATAAATGTGTTTCGGGGTAGTTGTAACTCATTTATAGAAACTCGTTGTTTTGAACTGTTAATAGACCCTCATAATAGGATAATCCCTTACTAAGAACATGATTTACATTCATTCTTCACAATTAAGAGGCATCAAATCCTACAATTTCATTGGTCGAGAGCACTTTGATATATTCTAATATACTAATACAGGTGTACAGATAACACGAAGCGATATACGTATACTAGACGTTTATAGTCTCCTGGTATCCTGTTTCTGTTGCGAGCGAACGGTAATGTCAAATTACTGTTTACGTCACAGTTCAATTTGGGTTCCTCATTGGGGTCCGCGTTTAAGTCGTGTCGATTCCTTTCAAAAACAAATTCAACGATTGGGATGGAAAAAAAATGTACAAAATTAATTGCAGGATGAAGACAATAACTTTTTAGTGTCTTTAAATATCAGCTGCATTTGTACTCGGCTAAAAACAGGAGTAATAGCTCGCTAAAGCTCGCATTACACCTGTTTCTTAGCCTCGTACAAATACAGCTGATATTTAAAGACATTAAACAGTTATTGTCTATGTAACTGAAAAATGCGATAGGAAGCGATCTAGCATGTCTTTTTCAGATTGAAATCCATATTTTTAGTATTTAATATCTTCTTGCATTTTAGTTCATGTTAGGTGATGGGTAATAGAAACTCGATAAGGAGGTGCCGCATGGAAGAGGATATCGGATAATTGTGGTACTTAAATGTGGATCTTTACACATTCATAAATAAGACTAGTCTTCATTCAATAAATGTATGATTTCAGCCATTTGTCTACATCCTGTAAATTTTTACTACAAATCTATCTGTCCTTGTTCTTCTGACCAGTGCTTTGACAAATGCAAACGAACATGTTATAATTTTTTTTTCAAGGCTTATGATATTAACAACATAATCAATTGTTAGTGTGTTGAATTCTTTTTGCACAAGGCCATGTTCTTCGTTAACTGTTAGTGACGTCTTTACGCTAAATCCGTTGGATGTTGGGCGTGTACTGATTGATATTTTAGTCTTAGGGTCTATGGGTTTAGATTTTTTATTAGTTTTTATTGGCTTTCAACTAGCTTCCCGTAACTGCGAGTACTCTCAAATCTTTTGTGTTTTAGTTAGGGTTTTTATGTGCTTTGTATTGATCTGACGAGTTAAGCCGTTTCAACTGATTTTTATAGATCGTTGTTATATCGTGCTGTGACACCACTGTCCCAGATTTGGGGTAGGGTTTTGTGCCATGAAACATATTTAACCCCGCCACATTCTGTATATATGCCTGTCCCAAGTCAGGAGCCTGTAATTCAGTGGTTGTCGTTTGTAGCTGTATAGCATATTTTTTTTCGTTTATTGTTTTGTAATTAAGTTCAGGCCGTTATTTTTCTCGTTTGAATTGTTTTACATTTCAAAAAATTGTCATTTCGGGGCCTTTTATAGCTGACTATGCGGTATGGGTTTTGCTCATTGTTAAAGGTCGTACGGTGACCCATAGTTGTTAAATTATATACCATTCGGTCTATTGTGGAGAGTTGTCTCATTGGCAGTATACTACATCTTCTTATGTTTAATTTGTATAAATATGCTAAGTTATGTTGTGTCCGTTTACATTTATGAAGTCTGTATACTCTGTAAACTACACTACACAGTAATCTTATCAAACACTATAATTTTAAATATTTAGTTAAATGTACTTGAGAGAAAGATTGGTTAGTTTAATTTATGATTGTCGACACCATTCCCTTTTTAGTTAAATAATTTATAAGAAATACGACAATGCGAATCGCGAAGAAATTATTTAAGCAATTAGTTTCTTTGTGGATAATATTTATTTTCGTTTTTATATATATATATATTAAAATTGAGGTGACAAGTATCTCTGAATTCCAATAGGGATTTACTGTGCCCTTTACTTCACAGATATGTTTCATCACTTTAAAGAATTCCAGTTTATTGTTCATCTTCATAAAGATCAAACTAAATAATTCTTGATAGATATTTTAGCAATTACGTTTAAAGATGTTTATGAAATAAGAAAATGTGATTTGGTTGCAAACTAGACAAAGTGATGCCCCGCACTCCACTCTGAAGTAGGAGTATTATAACAAAGTCAATGTTGGACTTTCTTTGAGATATTATTGTGTCTGGGAGACATAAATGAGGCCCCCGCAGATGCAAAGTGTTATCTTAAAATATACAAAGTTGAGCATGGAAGCACATAGGTATATGGTTCACTGTAGGAAGAGTTATCTGGAAACGCTATGCACCTCTTATGCAAGTAGACTCCAGAAAATGACAAAGTTTAACTATCTCCCAAAAGAGCAAATATTAAATATTAATAAAAATCCAAACCCTGACCACACGCATACCTTCAATATATGTACAAACAGCCAGCAAAGTGAAAACTTCCTAGCATTCAAACTGTAGTTACTGTAGGAGTTATTCGGAAACGCTATGCACCTCTTATGCAAGTATATACTCCAAAAATGACAAAGTTCAACTATCTCCCAAAAGAGAAAATATCAATAAAAATTAAAACCCTGACCACACGCATACCTTCAATATATGTACAAACACCTCGGTATGTCTGTCTCATATTCATATCATATATTAACATATTTTCGTCCAGGATATACATTAAATATTTGCCGCTGATCTTTGAGCAGCCTTCAATCAAGAACACTCATTATTGTCATTGGCTGAAATAGAAGGCGTTACCTATGTCATGAACAATGTAGGTCATTGGTATAATAATAACAAAACAAATGTTATACGAATATGCTTGGTTTTGAAAATTGAAAATATGTCAATGAATATTGGTTTGGCATATTTACAGGTTCAATTTGATGTTAACTTATACTAATCTGCCCCAGGAGAAAATTCAAAGATGTACTCTTCGACAAAGACTTTTTTTCTCTATATTTCAGGGAAAGTATTACAAGAAATAAAAAAATGTCAGTCACAGAATTTAAAGACGAGTAACTATTTTAAGATTTTATTCTCTCTTAACTTATCAATTACATCTTTGTAACAAGTTGGCAAGAAATATGAGAAAAGTAAAAAAAAATATCATTGACAATATATAGAATAATATAATTATGTTAAAATACCCGTGTTTGCAAAAGTTGTATTTAAAAAACATTACATTCTAGTCCATAGCCTAATAAATAAACTAAAAGACAGTGGACCTTTTTCAAATCAAATCATATCATTATATAAAAACATATCATATAGACATATAATGCCGATTTCACTGTTTCCACTCTTTCGTTTCTTTTAAAGATGGTACAGAACACCTAAGGGAGTTAACTCTTTAAAAATCAGCTGAACGTTTTAATCACATACTAAACAAGTATAAGTAATGTGAAATCAAGCTTTTCAATGATCAAAACTAGTGTCTCGTCTATCATTTCATTTAATCTACTCCATGCTCGTAGAAAGTATTTATCATATCTTCAAACGTTTTCAGTTAAAACATTATTGAGGTACAATGCATGTTCATATAGTAGAACAGCTTTTGGCCTGTTTGCCAGTTCTTTCTCCAGTGTTTACGTTTGATAATTAAAGTTAGATAATCCATCAGCTTATAACACAACAGTTGCTGTTTTGTGCTGTGGTACTAGGTACAATGTCGACGTTATCAATTTTACTGGAATTTTCTTTTTCTTTCCGTTCGGACGGGCTGTCGTCTGCAGATTTATCACCATCACCATCATCGCCATTTTCTGTAAGTCGTTTGATAATTGACATGAACATCTCGTTTACGTTTTCGTTTGTTTTTGCACTTGTTTCTGTGTGGGGTAAATTTTCCTTCTCTGCAAAATTCTAAAAAAAACAAAAGAAAATAACTTCATTTTAAACTAACAATTTGAGATGTATCATAGATATAAGAAGATGTGGTATGAGTGCCAATGAAACAACTCTCCATCCAAGTCAAAATTTATAAAAGTAAACCATTATAGGTCAAAGTACGGTCTTCAACACGGAGCCTTTTATAAGTGGTACGTATATTTTTAAGATTTTAGAATGTATTAGTAAAAACGTTTACTAGGATTTATCTTTTACTAGCAAGGAATTAACACTTGTATAAAGGTCGACAAACTATGTTAATTTTTAATAAATCACATTTCAAAACTTTCCACGACAGGACAAAGTTCACAACTTTGGGCAAATTTGATATTTTTTAAGTTTTAATGATGATTTTTTTTTTTGCAATAGTGATTTTGTAAAACGTGTATTCGAAAGTATTAGCACTAACTTAGTACACATAAAAACTAGATGTTCGAATGAGACTCAATTGCTCATCCGACAAACCAGTGCACATTGTTTTGAAGAGGACATTTGTATAATTTAATTCATATAAAATAACGAGATGTGGTATGATTGACAAAGCGCCACTATCTTATGATATGGATTTCAGCAATTAAAGGTCACATTACGGCCTTCAACAATAAACAAAACACAATACAATAAAATCAAACAGCGACCAATAACAACTACCGAATTACAAACTCTTGACTTGGGACAGACATATACATAACGAGGAGGTGCTAAACTTGTTCATGAACTCTCAAACCTCTCCATACCTGGGATAATGATGCAACAGTATACGTAAAAATCAGATGGAAATGACTTGACTCCAAGTTATTTTTGAACTTTTAGAAGGATTCTTAATGGCGTAAGAAAGAAATGAGTGAAAAAAGATAAAAATATCAAATTTTAAACTTCTTATCTCATGATCATTTGCAGTTTGACATTGTTTACTAAATTTATTCCTATTTTTGTATTACTATAGTAGTACACTGTCATCTTAATGCTTTCTTTTATTTTTATTTCTTTTAGAATTTCTGTCATATCCATTTAGCTTATGAATGAATCAGTTGTACACTGGCTACCCTTCCGGAGCACCTGAGATCACCCCAGTTTTTTGTGGGGTTCGTGTTGCTCAGTCTTAAGTCTTCTATGTTGTGTTTGGTGTACTATTGTTTGTCTTTTTTCTTTTCTTTTTTTTTTTTTTTTTTTTTGCCATGGCGTTGTCAGTTAATTTTGGATTAGTTTGAATATCCCTTTGTCATTTTCTCGCCTCCCTTTTGTAGAGTTACAGAAAAGTATCAAATTTACTCTTTAAAGTGCGTTTCTGGATTGAACTTAAGAAGCTTCTTGTGTCTATTGTCTGTTAGGCCTATTAGAAAGATGTGTATTTATAAAAGACAAGAATAAATATAATAAGACATACAGGACGAGGTAGACCCAAATTATCTTGATAAAGTTTATATCACAGCTTTCAAATATTCGGCTTTGAGCGTTCCTGATGAAGTTAAATCCCGAAAAGCGCTTTGGACGCATGGTTTATAACGTATAGTTTTCATTTTTAAATCGAGATGACCGTGAGGTCATTCCGATGTATTGCTATCGCCTAAATTTTGCACACGTAACTTTCGTTTTGGGATTGTAACCGATATATAAACATGATAAATACGCGGATATTAAACTAGTGCAAACTAACATTCCTTATCGTTTATTATAAATACATCTCTTCAATGAATACTGATAAAAATATTTTTGTTTAGAACATAAATTAATAATATGAAAATGTTTTGTCGTTATATATATATATAATAATATATTATATTAATATAATATATATATATATATAACGACAAAACATTTTCATATTATTAATTTATGTTCTAAACAAAAATATTTTTATCAGTATTCATATATATATATATAAGTAAAAAATCATTGATAATATCTATGCACACGTACCGTAAAATTGTGTTAAGAGCATGCGGAAAAATATTTCAAGAACGTTTTGCGACAATCCCGGCAAAGACCGGTAACTCTGTAATTGTTTTTGTGGGAAAATATGAACTCCTACTCATATCCAATCTTTTAGAAAATCGGATTTTTACAGAAGAGTGTCCACCATGCACTTGCACTTCACTATCATTAGAATAGTAGAATAGAATGATATACAAATGGATGAAAATTATATGTACATGTAACTGTTATATTAATATAATATATAACAACAAACCAGTGTATAGTGATGTGTATCACTACAATATAATAGTTATTACGGTGAGGTTGAATTTCCTGTCATTTATTCATCATCCATGCACGAACTTGTCTCAGAAAAAATATATCTCTGTACATTAACCTCAGTTTCAGGTATAGAGATGTGATTTTTTTCTGTGACAAGTGCTTTTGACCAGCCACAAGAACTTGCGGTCATCCGATGTTCAGTACTTCAGTACTTTGATTCATATAGGAATTAAAAATCAACAATGGAAGTGATATATAAAGTAAATGTGAAAAGTCAGTAAAACTTTAATTTTGGACTTTCACCCTACCTACATACTCCAAGATAAATCCGCACATTAAGTAATATGTATATGTCTTCTGTCGATTGGTTGCAGATGCGTGTCTTAGAAAGTGCACTAATGGATGAGGACGCGTACATGGACAAAGGTCTCCAGAAGTCCATGCCCATGGACTAGTTAAGAAAATCTAAAATGGGAGTTGAAGAAATATTATTAACTTTCAGGAAGTAAGAAACTTTAAGGTTTGAACGATTAAAATATACCTCGACGTCCTGTTTGTTTATTTCACGTTCCATATCAGATTTGTTTCCTACTAGAAATGCAACTGCCTTCTTATTCCCTTTATTGTATTTTTTCCATCGCCCCAATATATCGCTCGCCATCTCTAAAGATTCCTGAAAGAAAAACATTTGGTTTGAACAAAACTGCTGTTAATGCCATAGAGTATGAAATTCCACTTTGGTAAGATTAGGAATGACTTTTGTCCATGACGTCAATGATTTCTGGTCATGTAAGCTTTCTTTCCACCAGCATGTTTCCCTTTCACTGAGAAAACATTTTTTTCAAAAAGGTCTTATACTCTAAACTAATCATTTTTTTTTCGTAAATTGTTTTGTTATAAATTAGCCGTTAGTTTTTAAATTTTTCATATTGCTTTCATGTCTGGGCCTTTATAGCCGACTATACGGTATGGGTTTGTCATATTGTTAAAAGCCTTACCGTGACCTATATTTTTGTACCTTCAAATATCCACTTATTTGAACTCTGGTGGATATCTGTTTTTTTTTATTAATCACATCACATCTCCTTATTTTTAAATGGCGTTATTTTGTTTTTGTTTTTTGTTTTTGTTTTTTATTTATTTGTTGTTGTTTTTTTTTCAACTTAAAAAAAAACGATAGTGATCATAATTTGCATTTCAAAATTCATGATAGCAAGCTTGGCTTTTAAGAAATAATTTTTAAAATCACCATCATCTAAACGGTATGCGAGACGAACAATAGGAAAACAAAGCATGGAGGTTCTTGCTGTCACCTTTTGAAGATCTGCATACAAAGCATATCGAAAATGTCATGGCCGTCAAAAGATTTTAACTCATTTTACATGTTGTGTTTGATAAAACAGTTACCAGGACATTGAAAACTATATATACAATGCGTTTGAAAAAAAAAAACACGAATAATATCTCACTGGCTGATCAAATTCTTTACTTCATTTTTCTCTTGTCATTCAAGCTGCACTTTTTGAAGTATATAGTAGGTGTTTGCAGGTGTTTAAAGGTGTTTGTAGGTGTTTGTAGGTGTTTATGTGTATATATTGATCACTGTATTGATATATTTTACAATGAACATTACAACAACGGTCCACTTTTATTCAATTTCTTATGTATTTTACAGGAAGAGTCCCATATAACACCTATTAATTTTGTTATTTTTACTGATGTTGCTGTATGCGGTTTTCTTGCTTTAATAAAAATAAAATTAATACAGTATTTTGACACGTTTTCCTTTATGAAATAAATTCATTATTCGATTATTATCACGACATTTACTCAATCATTATATCATTTCTTGTTTTGTATCTTTGGACTTCTTGTGGAGCATTTGTCTCGAGTATTGGAGCTTATGACTGCTCTTCAAGTCAAACTAATCTTTGAAATAGGCAGTTATTTCTTTTGCGTCATAAGCTCTGCATTTAGGAGTAAAAGCATGAACAGATCATCTCTGAGAGATGAATGAGTTTGTGTTAGGTGACATGCCATCTTAAATGAACACAATGTTAACAGAACTCACTTGTTTCGATATATCATAGATAATAATAGTTGCATCCATTTCAGCATAGTAATTGATAGAATAGTTCTCGTACTTTCTATCTCCATCTGTGTCATTCTGAAACATAATTGTTGTTCTTTTTTTAATAAGTTGTTTGTGGTGTAAAGCATTTATTTGAAATTATCGTATGATTGAAATTGTGATGCTATAATTGTCAAATATTATTATCTAATAATTGAAAGTTGCCCGTTTCTGTAAGGATGATCGTAATCTATGTATATCAAAATAAATCTTGTAAATATAAATAATTAAGCATGGAATTTTGGAACCACAAATTACTGAAACTTTTACTCAATTCTTTCATAGATACAAATATTTGTTTAGGTGTAGAGCTATAACATAGAGATATCACATTCTGATTTTTATGATGATGTTGTTTTAGAGCCCGTACATTTACATACGATCCATGTAATTTGAAGAGAAACTAAAAAGGTTATCAATGTTACGCCAATCTTCCAGGTTAGAAAAGGCTTTAGCACTCATAAGCATATTTACCACCGTTACATTCTTCATGCGCATGTCCCATGACAGGAGCATACTTAAGTCCTAGAGCGGAAAGTCATTTTTTAAACAGAAATGACCGAAAATAATATAGTGCATTGATTTTTAGGGTTGAAATTTAAAAAAATAAGCCCAGCGTGTACATAACCAAAAAAAGCGACAACAACCGTCAAAACTGAATATAAAAAAATGCAATACTTACAAGCTGTAGACGAATTTCTTTTCCATTTACTTCAACAGTATGTGACTTCTATTCAATTACAAAACAAAACAAAATTATATGTTTAAAGTCTTTTATTTAATTTCAGTTTCGTATGTAATATTTGGCTTTCATGAATTCAAACTATATAAAAAATATATATTTTTTCGAAATTGAAATTATCATGAAAACATGTGTTTTCATATTTTAAAGAGAAAATCTCATATTAATAAGCTCCCTTCATTCATTAATTTCGTTATTTACTAGTATGGTCGTTTGAGTATATGCAATAATGAATTCCATTCCGTCTCTTACTTAAATAAAATGTCAATGTTTCCTTTTTGATGTTGAGCAGAAGAGGCGTGTTAATGGTGATATAATATTGGTATATCACATGTCTCCATATACTATGCCATGATGAAAACTATGCATGTATTGTGAGCAATACGACGCCGCTTACAAGACACAAATATTCAAAACATTAGCATAATGCTTTAAAAAACCATGTAATGACGAAGAAAGTTCTGCAAACTTACTGATGTCTTTGATGTTCAGACGTATGCTTCTGCAGTTGTACGTTCTGTCCCCGAAGTCATCACAATCCTATACTTAATTCTGATGAGCTGACATACAATATAACTGATACGGTAGTTATGTGTAAATTTGCTGTTCTTAAGATATGAATATTATTCCAAATACTAAGGGTTTCCTACGTTTAAATTCTTGCATTGATCACCTTAGGCTGATTTGGGATAACTTTTCTAAATATATATTTTTTTGAATATTTGGTATTCAATAGTCACCAACTTTATTATTCATTTGGTCTTCTAAGCTTTTCAATTTGAGCTACTGATGAGTCTTATGTATACGAAACCCGTATCTGGCATAAAAGAAAATGAAACTGAATGTCTTTGATCAGTTTTAACCAATGTTTTTTCGCATTATGAAATCATCATTTATGCAGACTATCAGCATTTCAAGTATTCCATAGAGATACAAAAATGGTCTACCATTTTAAAAAAGTCATGCATACCTTCGTACCTGTGGAATTAGTCTGTATCGAAGGTATGAAGCTATACCAACATCACATTAAATTTAAAATAAGTGTGCTAAACTTATTCAGGGGTAAAATACTGAACTCAACAATACTAAGCTTACCTTCATGTTTTGTCGTTTTGAAAGACAACAACGAAGACAATTAGCTCTAAATTCCAATTATTAACGTATCAAATCGGTAGGTTATTTCAAATTTTTGGTAGATTAAGAATAGCAAATGCAAAAGACGACACCACGAAAAATATCTGAAACCGTGGTCGGAAAAGATCAAACAACACCATGATCGAAAAGAAAACCGACTAAAAGACAAACAACAGTCCATTAAACACTGTACAGCAAAGATTGATTAATACAGAACAAAAATCCAAGTTTGATACAAGTGTTTCGAAATAGTAGACAATTCCTGCTTAACTAACGGCACCTGTCGTGGTGGTCATGACAAGTAAAATGCCGGTAATAAGCGCTGATTACCATTATCAGACACTCTCAAAAACATATCAATCGTTTTAGAGCACGAACTACATATCATAACAGTCAGAACAATAAATGTTAAACTTTGCCTGAGGGAGTTCAAACCTAAGCGTTAGACCAATAACATATTTTTTTAACCGGAAACTTAGAGAAACACTTTCGAGAGAAATAATTTTGGTTCATTAAGTTGACGATTTTTGTATCCACGCTTAGTTGCTGCTCGTAGACGTCAAAATGAAAAAAATCCCCAAAAATAGGAACCAGTTGAAAAAAGCGAACATTTCTATGACTGGTCATATCCCTCAATTTGAACATAACACTTCTACATTAAAACAAAATTATGGTCTCTAACAAAAGGTTAATGACTAGTAATTATAAATGTAAGAATATGTGGTATAATTGCATGTAGACAGCTCTCTCACAGGCAAAAACAAACCCTAACTGTAAAATTAAGGGCATACACTTATATTTGGTTTTGTCTTTTATTTATTTGGGGATTTGTTAAGGGGGAGTGCAATTCTGTCATCTGTCACGTTATTTATTCAGTTTTAAAATAAAAATAATACGATTTTTTTATAGGGTGACTTTCGGAGATTTCCATCTTCATCTTATACTTTCTAAAGTACACATTCACGGCAGCAGAATACAACTAATGGCATGTGACAAAACAATATGTAATACATAGCAAACTAAGTATATCAATTTCAATGTTTCAGTACGACCATTTGTCATTTCGGTATGGAAAATAAGAAAATCAATAATATTCTGTACTTACACCACTCATAAATTGTGTAGGTACATGTTCTTCGGTGAAAGTATCTCCCTGAAATAAAAAATTACCGAATTAATAAACATTTCTTGGATACATATTGCAGTTGTAATGGTTGCGCAAATATATTTCACTTCTTTGTGGAATGATGTAGGAAACTAGATGTTGCATATATCCATAATCGGTGATTACTTTTATAAATGACTAAACGGAAATGCCTGATAAAAGTCATTCAGATAGTAACCTAAAGTAGCAAATATTCAAAAGTAATCATATCACTTATAACACATGTTTTTAATGATAGAAAAATGTCTTTACATTTTGTTATTTTCTAAATAGTGCCGAACCTAAAAACAGAGACTTTAAGAGTCCATAATAATAGCATGTCTTGAAAAAGCCTTCAATTGAAACTTATATATAACAATTCCCAGTCTTTAATTTCACTTTTTTTTCTGTAGGAAGCTGATGCTACATGAAAAGATGTAAAACTTTTTTTTCTTTTTTTTTTTAAATGTATACTTAAGCTTATTGATTATACTGTAGGTTTAGTAATCGATTTATTGCTGGTTTGTAATTGATAGTCTTTGGTATAAATGTCAAATGAAAATATCCTACAGATAAACTTACAAGTGTGCGGTACTTTTATCGGTGAGGTACCTTGGCTCAGGCATTGATTATAGATAAATTGGCGTTGTTGGCTTAATGCTGATTGGCACATCTTTTTGCATATTCATTTTAAAGGCTTTTAATACTTTTCTACTCTTAATGTTTTTTCCTTTTAACTAACTGTCAGTAACTGCGAGTACTCTCAAATCATACTTTCTTGTTAATTTAACCTGTTGACACAATTCGTATTAAATGCATTTTCTGTAATCCAATGCTTACTTAGTTTATGTTATATCTTGTCTCACTATTTTAGATATGTACCGCCTCTGATAAGTATGTAGTATGACGATAAATTTTCACTTCTGTACTCGTTCTCTGAACAACAAACTTATTTATTTTATAAAAAAAAAATACTTATTTCCGTACTCTTAACAACAACATATCTAAATTTGAATTTACCTGTGTACATTGTTATATTTAACGCCATTTTGTCCTAAGTAAGGGTTGTCTTTTTGACACTATTCCTACATTTTTTTTATTACTACCTGTAACGTTTATTTTATATAGGCACCTACGTTTTAATATCGTATTTATATTGTGTCATAGATCCAACTTATTCGTTCAGTGCATGTTTACACTAGTCATTTTGGGGCCCTTAATAGCTTGCTGTTCAGTGTGAGCCAAGGTTCCGTATTGAAGACCGTACTTTGGCCTATAATTGTTAACTTTTTATACATTGTAAGTTGGATGGAGAGTTGTCTTATTGGCACTCATACCACATCTTCTTATTTATTTTTCCTTTTGTAGACGAACTGATATTCTAATTAAGTCAGTTTTCACAAGCACTCGTTTTAAATTTTGTGAGATTAAACAAGAGGTATTATTTGAAATTTCAACGAGGAATATTGATGTATTTTATATTAAAAATGAAAAGAACATCCAGAAATGTCATAACAGTAATGCGAAATAATTCATAGAACTTTTTTTTTTTATTCTTTAATTAAGCAAACCTTATAAAAATGTAGTATATGAGCTTAAATAGAATTGTGCGTTGTGACCTGCGTTCAAAAAGGACGGTAACGTATAAATGTTACAGGTAATACGAAATTGGATGTATTTCAAAAGTATTGTATTTAAAAGATAGGTTGTTCTTGCAAATGTGTCATGAAAAGTAGTAAATATAAATAAAAAAGCACTTGTGAACTTGAGACTTGATTTAGTTTTTACTCTCAAGATGTCGGCAGGTAGCTCTGTCTTAAATGTTTTATAATGGTAGACTTTCTCTGTTAATATCGCAGATATAAATAGATATGGTTAATAAACTTAGAAGTCATATTACATCTGTTTGCCAACTGTGAAACTATATGTCATACCCTGTTGTTGCGTAAATTCATATAACAATTCCATCTTTAGCTCACCTAGCCCAAAGGGTCAAGTGAGCTTTTCTCATCACTTGGCGTCCGTCGTCCGTCGTCCGTTAACTTTTTCAAAAATCTTCTCCTCTGAAACTACTTGGCCAAATTTAACAAGGAAATTTTGCCGTTTTTGGTTATTATCTTGAATATAATTATAGATAGAGATAAACTGTAAACAGCAATAATGTTCAGCAAAGTAAGATCTACAAATAAGTCAACTTGACCAAAATGGTCAGCTGACCCCTTAAGGAGTTATTGCCCTTTATAGTCAATTTTTAACCATTTTTCGTAAATTTTTGTAATCTTTTACAAAAATCTTCTCCTCTGAAACTACTAAGACAAATTTAACCAAACTTGTCCACAATCATCATTAGGGTATCTAGTTTAAAAAAATGTGTCCGATGACCCCGCCCGCAAACCAAGATGGCCGACATGGCTAAAAAATAGTACGTAGGGTAAAATGCAGTTTTTGGCTCATATCTCTGAAACCAAAGCATTTAGAGCAAATCTGACGAGGATAAAATTGTTCATTATGTCAAGATCTATCTGCCCTGAAATTTTCAGACCAATCAGGCAACACGTTGTTGGGTTGCTGCCCCTGAATTGGTAATTTTAAGAAAATTTTGCAGCTTTTGGTTATTATCTTGAATATTATTATAGATAGAGATAAACTGTAAACAGCAATAATGTACAGCAAAGTAAGATCTACAAATAAGTCAAATGACCAAAATTGTCAATTGACCCCTTAAGGAGTTATTGCCCTTTATAGTCAATTTTTTACAATTTTCATAAAATTTTGTAAATTTTTGTAAATTTTTACAAAATATTTTCCACTGTAACTACTGGGCCAAGTTCATTATAGATAGAGATAATTGTAAGCAGCAAGAATGTTTAGTAAAGTAAGATCTACAAACACATCACAATCACCAAAACACAATTTTGTCATGAATCCATCTGTGTCCTTTGTTTAATATGCACATAGACCAAGGTGAGCGACACAGGCTCTTTAGAGCCTCTAGTTTAAAGTTTATCTCTGACAGGCCTTCAGTGTTCTAACTAATATGAAAACTGTTTTTACATAAGGTTCATATGGGTCACCTCACTTGACGTTTTGTTTTCTCTCTTTTACGATTGAATGATATTATTAAAAAATGTTTTACTCACAACAAAACGATTGATCAAGCTTGTTTTCCCACATCCTGACGATCCAGTCACAAGTATTGATAACGAATTGCTGAAATAATACAAAATAATAGTAATACACTTTAGTCGACAAACCCACTCCACCCATGCCCCGACATAAATGTAGATATCTCAAAGTGACCTGCTGACATATTTTTTCTGTTAACTTTAACTGTTATTTTCATTTGCAAGTTCTGGATCGATACTTGTGGACTGATATTCCTCGAGGGTTTCTTCAATTGAGTAATTAGTAAAAAACACAAACATGATGTATTACATACCTTTTTAATTTATCCGTTCATCAAATTATAAATCATTGAAATATCTAAGGTTTCAAATATTCCAACCCCCTTATGACATAGCTGATCTGAGGTGCATGGACTGTTTTTTGTAGGTCCTTGTTGATTATCTAGCAAATCAGGTATCCAGAGATTTTATACATCTTCGTCTTTCAAGTTTATATTACGGGTTCAGCATGTCAATACAAGCACTTCGAATGCGCCAAGTATATTGAGTGCTATTTTCATTTGCTTATGTTTTATCAATTTATTATTCTTTCTAGAGAGAAGTATTGCCTTACAAGCAATAAGAACTGATTATAACATATTTTAACGGCACCATTCCTAACAAACAAGGTCCCCATTTTAAAAATTCTTGTTAAGGAAATCATTTGAGGTTTTTTGATGAGTAAAATCTTTATACAAGATTCCAATTGGCCAACTTGTTTGTTTTCTTCTTCTTCTTCCTGGTACGGGAAAGACTCCGGTGCCGGAGTGTGGAATATCCCGGAAATGTGGCGCTATGTTCATGCAAATGGATGTCGAAAATTTTGTTATAAGATAAAAATATTTGCCACAGTTCAATTACAATTTAAAATAACATTAGTTGTAGCTTAATGTTAAACATATTCACATTATGTACAGTGGCTTAAATACACTAATTAATTAGCCAGACTAGAACCTCCAAATGTTAAGGCGGAGATGCCACCTTTGAAGGATTCTAGGGAGGGTGACATGCAAATTGTTTCTGGGAGATCGTTCCAGACAGCAATAGTACTTGGGAAAAAAGATGATTTAAAAAAGTCTTTATTTGTATATATATGTCGAAATTTATGTAGGCCTCTAGTTCGCCTGTCATTAGTGACTTCGACCAACCCCCCATTAATCTTATAAATCAAGACAAGCTTAGCTTTTGTTCTACGGGATTGCAAGTTTTCCCATTTTAGTTTGTTTAACATACCAGTGACAGCACCTGGTGATCTATCGTTATAGTCATTAAAACATATCTTGCTGCCTTACGCTGTATCTGCTCAATTTGGTTTATTTGGCTTTGTTTGTACGGATCCCAAACTGGTGAGGAGTACTCGACGGTCGGACGCACAAGTGACGTGTTTTTAACCTTACATGTACAATTTTTCATGTTTCTACTTAAAAATCCTAGTGTTTTATTTGCCTTTGAAGTTATATTATTAATATGGGGCCCCCAATCAAAATCATTGCTTATTGTAACTCCTAGATACTTGCTGTCTTTGACAGATTCAAGTACATGGTTATGTAATTTATATTGAAATAAATTAGTTTTCGACTTTTTGGATATATTTATGACATAGCATTTTTCAGGATTAAATTTCATTTGCCATTCAGATTCCCAATGTTCAAGGCTTGATAGATTTTTTTGGAGTGCTTGAGACTCATTTATATTATTTGATGTTTCATAAAGTAAACAGTCGTCAGCAAAAAGACGAACCTTACAGGAGACATGCTCAGGTAGGTCGTTTATGAATAACAAAAATAAAGTTGGGCCTAATACTGTGCCCTGAGGAACACCAGAGTCAACAGCTAATTTGGAAGATTGAACACCGTTAAGCAGGACTTGCTGTTGCCTGTTTGACAAAAAATCTTTTATCCAAAGTAAGTTATTTTCACGTATACCATAATAATTAAGCTTTGTTATTAACCTTTCATGGGGGACCTTATCAAAAGCTTTAGAAAAATCTAAAAGTATTGCATCAACTTGATTACCTTCTGCCAAGTATTTGGCTATGTCCTGGATGCTGATAACAAGTTGTGCTTCACAGGAACGTTTACTCCTAAAGCCATGTTGGCAATCATTTAAAATATTATTTAAATCTAAATGTTTTCTAATGTTACTTGTTTAGACGTGTTCTAAAACCTTACAACATATAGCCGTTAAAGAAACCGGTCTATAGTTAATTGCATTATGCTTATCTCCCTTTTTAAAAATTGGCACAACATTTGCCTGTTTCCACTCTTCTGGGATTTTTCCATCATTTATGGATTTTTGAAAAAAGAATAAAAGGAAGGGGGATATCTCTTCTGAGAGTTTATTAAGGAAAATAGCAGGGATATTATCAGGCCCACTAGCTTTATGGGGGTTTATATTTTTAAGGAATTGAATTATGCCATTGATATTAATGGTTATATCTGGCATGGTGGGGTAGAGACTTTTAGGTTTATGTGGCATTTAAGTTTTGTCTTCTTCAGTAAATGCACTTTTAAATTGTTCATTTAAAATATTTGATTGTGTTTGTGGATCACTATAAAGTAATCCATCTTTACCTCTCAAAGGTGAGACTCCTGATGTTTCAGTCTTTTTCCCTTTTATGTATTGCCAAAATGATTTTTTGTTTTTCCTCCAGTTGTGGACTTATGATTTCTTCCATATATTTACTTTGAGATTTCCTAATTTCTCTTTGAACTGTTGCTTTAAGCTTTTTGTATTTATCTTTGTGGATTTGTTTCCCAGTTTTTTTAGCTTTATTAAATGCTCGTCTTTGTTTTTTACATAAACTATCAATTTCTTTATTTGCCCAGGGATTTGTATATTTAGATTTTGTCATTTTACTTGGTATATTATCATTGATGATTTTTATTATTCCATCTCTAAACTTAATCCACCACTGATTTATAGTAAGCTTAGCAGATCATATATAAATGATTTGGTTATATTTTTATTTTTTTCTAAATCTACCTTCTTCCATAAGAAAATTTTATGGGGGCATTGCGTAGCTCTTTTAGGCTTACAAATGGCATCAACCAAAACTATGTTTTGATCCAATATACCGGGTATTGATTTAATTTTGGTTCTAAGATTTGGTTGGTTGGTACAAAAGATGTCTAAAATATTATCTTTCCTGGTAGGAAAATTTACTAACTGATCCAAACCTAGATTGTTTAATAAATCTAACAAGATTTCATTCATTTCCTTCGGGTACATTTTGCCCTCTATTGTCATTGATGGTCAATCTATATCAGGAAGATTAAGGTCTCCACTTATCCAGAAGGTTGAATTTTTAAAATTTAATTTTAAATCATTTAATTCTAATAACATCTGTTTAAAATAGTTTATATCAGATTTACTTGGTGGTCTATAAACTGAAACAATTATCAAGGACTTTGAATCTGTTATATCTATTTGTGCTGCAATCAGCTCTACATTTTTACTACAATAAATTTGTTGGCACGTAATACCCTTTTTAATAGCTATTAAAACGCCTCCGCCTTCTTTACGTTCTCGGTCTCTCCGGAATACATCCTCAAATAGTGAAGAAGGAAATATGTCAGAGGACTTGACATCCTTATTTAGCCAAGTCTCATTCCCAATTATAATATCAGGTTTAGATGATGTTATTAAGTTTTCTATTTGGGCCACTTTGTTTTTGCAGCTTCTAAAATTTATATTTAACACTCTTAGCGAGGTTTGCCTATTTATTCTTTTATTTATTTTTGTCGCTACTGGTTTTGGAGAAGATGTAGCTACTGGATTTCCAATATTATCTGTATTATCATTAAGACTGACTGAAAAAGCTGAACTGTCAGTTTGGGATAAACATGAAAATGAGTTTGTTGTTAACACTGAATTTCCTGTTGATAAAAAGGACTGAAAAATTGTTCTGGAATGATTGGGGGTATCACAATTTGGACATACCCAGAGGGCTGAAGTATTTCCATACTTTTCATACATGGATGAGCTGATATTTACACACCCTGCATGACACCATTTATCACAGTTATCACAGACTATAGCGTCTTGGTTCCAAGTACACTCCCGTGAGCAGATTGAACATGGGTAGCTAGACTCGTTTAAGTTGTTTGGTCCTGGATTGGTTTCGACCTGATTGCTGAGCAATAATTTTAATAGTAAATACACGTGTCGGGATCTATCAGAGCTTTTAAATATTGGTCTTTTAAAGCTAGACACATGTAACTGCCAGTAGTATAATTGAGATGACACACTTATAGACAATTCATTCTGTAAACAGAGATCATTGCCCACATTTTCATACACATGTGGTTTTGAAAAAATTCCACAGTTCAGCAATATGGTAAATACTGAAAAAATTGATAACAAGACATTATGTAACATTTTGACAAAGTCTCTCTTTCAACATGGATTTTATTTTATGTGAAGAGTTGGTAAGTGACACTCATATACTTGTTTAACAATTTATAAGAGGGTGGTTAGTATCTCCAACAAGTTAAGTCTTCGTTCCTTGGGCGACTCAAGGACACAGGTTATTCTCACTAGGTAGCCATGTTAATATGGAATGTTATAAGGGAGAATAAAGATAGGAATTAATAACCTATTTAATTAAGAGACTCTGTATAAAACTATATTAATTTTAAAAAAAAAATTTATCAAAAAATTCAACCGGAAGTACGATTTCCCGCCACTGTACATAAAGGAAAAGCGTAAATATCTAACTCAAAATTTCACAATTTTTTTTTGAATTATTTGAATATGGTGAATTTAAACCACTAAACATGCAATAGCAAGTTCCGGGATCTGTCTCAGCATCTGTAGTTGAGTTTCCAAAGATTTTCTAGGAGCTGCAAATTTTCGACTTCCATTCACACGCACATGCGCATATTGTATATTCTTATATGAAGCAGAAATCAAAGAGAACCTTCTCACAGACAATAGAGAAAACCAAATGGTGCAAAGTTCTTCTATTTCACTTGAAGATATATTGATGATTATCTGACACATAATAAATACCCCATATCTCATATATTCCCATGATTTTGAGAA